ATGCATACATGCAAAGTTAAATACCACCCCCTCCATCCATCTGTCCATTTATTCATCTTCGCTTGCTCACCATCACACACATATATAATAAAATAAACAGATAAACAAGTAATTTTTCATAGGCTCCAATACCACCAATATATGTAACTTATGTAACTTATGTATGTGAGTTTAATTTGCAAACGCTAGCCATATGATAATCATGAAAGCTTGAATCATCTACTGTATCATTCATTCATCCATTGCCGCAACGATAAAAAGCAGCCTATCCTACCCCAAACGCCCTACCACCCACCCACCAACCTCTCAAATCTTTTCACTCTCAAGATTACTTATGTTATGAGAAAATTTCTCCATTGGCTTCGACACTCATCGGACTACCCCCATTATGTGCCATAACCTTTGGATGCCTCCTCCGTGGCTTAAGTCTAGCACTCGCACTAGCACCACCATGTGCAACATCAATACCCTCATCACTATCATCTGCATGCTCCAATGCATAAGCAGCAGCTTCATCCAACTCCCTAATATCATCTGGCCTTTTCCTCAACCAAGCCATTCGAGGACCACTTCTCGCTCTCTCCGAAACCTTGAATCCATAAATTTTAGGTTCATATACTTTGCCCTTTCCAAGACCAGGTGCAAGATTTGATGCATTCATGCCATTAATCTTTTCCTTTTCTTCATCATTGCCATGTTGTAAATTTCTAGCTCCATGACCACTCAATGCTTCTAATCCCTTCTTACTAATATCATAATCGGGAAATGTGAGGAGGAAGAGAGCTCCGAAAGTTCGTCCAAAGTATGCACCATCAACAGTTTGGAATCGAGAATTTGGAGGAACGTATACATCGAGACATGAAGGACAGAAAAGTTTAACTGTATCTTCACCTGGAACATCAGATAATCCTACAGGTAAAGTTCGGACTTGTTCGCAATGTGTTCGTGGACAGTGACCAAAATGGGCCAGGTCATATTTTTCCGACATTTGTTGTATACCGGCTCGAGAACAGATAAATCGTTGATGGATAAGACCATATAACATTTCTGCGGATGATTCTATAATCGATAGATCGCTTGCCATTCTTTGGTGTCTTCTTTCGGCAGCTGCTCTTCGTCCTGATCGATCCTCGCCTTCAATAGATGCATCCTCATCTTCATCCTCATCCTCGTCATCTTCGTCATCATCTTCTTCTGGTTCGACATCTAATATCATCTAAGAACAAGGTTTTAATTAGCATGTTATCAAGATCCATTAGTAATGAATACAATTACCTCGAGTGCTTCCTTATACATAGCTACTTGTGTCTGTAGACCTGTCAAATTGAAGTCATCTTCTATAAATTCTTCCGATATCTCTGCAAAGTATTCATGACCCAATAATGCGCAAAAAGAAGAGATCCAAGACTCTGGGGTACCAGAAGAGGAAGACATGTTGCGGTATGGTAGTTTATAATCTCGAGTGAGTAGGTTCGAATTCTAAACCCAACCTGATGTTGGATATCTATTGATTAGGCCGTGAGATGTGTCAAATTGATGCAGTAGGTCTTGCAGTTACTGGAAGAGGTATGTCGTAAAATATGATTGCCCCAATATACACGAGGTTGAATGCCGCAAATAATAGGTAAGGTACCCGTGGTAGACGCGCTCGAATTTATGACACTTTATAGATCGATCCAGAACACGGTCGAATATAGTGTTCAAAAGATTACCCAGTAGGAAGTATCAACGTGGAGTCGAGTGTGTGCGGCTCGCAGATAGTTGGGACTGCAGTTAAGTATCCCACTTGAAGGTATTCGTTGTATTTGCGCTGGTCTGTTTTTGCGCACGGTATGTTGTTAAATAGGTCTGATAGGGGTGAGAGTTGCAGATTCTGAGTAGAGGATTCTCTCAAATTACTCTTGATCACAACTTGAAGGTTCGTGCTTCGATTTGGTAGAGGAAAAGGATCTCTCAGCTTGTATTTGCGAAAGTAGAAATCAACTTTCGAACGCTGTTGACCTTTTTATCAAAAGCCTCGTCTCTCGAGATTAAACTTCCGCTTCAGGCATCAAGCAACCCCGCTAGGCAATAATTTATTAGCCTTCTCAAACCGAGGTCAAGCCGGACACGTGATTTACCTCGAAAATGGCGTGTCGTTGAATCTTCCGAGGGAGCTCTTTTGCTCAAAGTATTCCAAATTCACTTGTAATTACTTTTTATGTATCAAAGGTTTATAATCTAGATTATAATACTTGTAATCTATCTAGCTAATTTCGCCTTGACCTATGAGGGCTAGTTTCATAGGATAATCTCATATCCAAAAACTCCATCCATCGATGCTCATTTCGGACGCTAGAACTCCAAGACTATGCGATAGAACCCTCACGCCAATAAGGTACTTCAAATAGCGTATTACCAATACAATTCACCAAGCAATAATGGTCTCTCTTCCCTCTCTCGTACCATCTTTGCTTGGCACTGACCTTTTACATTTAACCATAATATAACGCTCTGGTATATGAAAATCCACAATTACCAGTTGAAATCGTTTTTCTTCCGGTATTACCCAGAGATTCTCTTGTTGAATTAGTGGAAAGTGGTCGCGAATAGGAGGTGTACGAGCTTGAGTATATGGCGAAGGTGTTCGATGAATTGGACTTTGACTTTGTGATGAGTAGGGTGAAAAGCCTTCCTGTATTATGTCCCCATTCGAGTTCGTTTCGATATAATTAAAGTATTCTGGTGATAATCTTCCGTTGTACGATTGTATTGGTTCCCTTTGTTGAGATCTTTGGTTGCTGTAGTCTGATTGTGCATTGGCTTCGAGTCTCCTAGGGACATCTAATCCATCTTCCTCACAGCCACAAATCCATAAGCCTATCCTAGCACTCAATACACCATCCCACATCCCTTCTTGTCTCGGAGTTCTAAATAATAGATCTAATGCCTTTCTTCTAATGTTTGGTTCCCTACATTTGGTGGCTACTACATGTAATGGAGGAACAATACCAATATCAAAACTAAATCGTGATGAATTGATAGCCGAAGGATTTGGCTCAAATGTTGTAACGAGCTTCTCCGCCGCTTGAACTATGTATTGGAAATCGTTCATGAACGAGTCATAGATCATTTCTGAGGTGGAAGTGACAGCCGAGAGTGTGATAGCTGTAGCTTTGAGATGCGTCATAAGAACAATAGCGGCCTGATTAAGTACCTTTCCTTCTGGAGATATCGAAGAACTCAAGATGGGCTGGAAAGCCTGTTCGAACTCATTTAGTCCAGCGACATATTCTGCATATTGCTGTGCTATTTCATCCGCGGTATCACTTTTCGCTGAAGCAAATTTCCTGTCAAATAAAGTTCTTCGATAGTATTGAAGTGTTCGATCCATTAAAAAATCCCAACAATGTTGAGCTTCAGAAAAACTTGTGAATACTTTTGGTATGGGAATATGATGTGCAGCGTGAATATCCCAAACCAAGGGCGGAATGCCTGGTGTCATACCAAAGAATACTATATGATGTAGATCATTAGCATGTGAAAAGTCTAAAAGAACAGAGGATATGACTGATTGCAGGGAATATTAAGGAGAGTAAAACTTTAGCAATAATATTGGAAACCAAAAAAACTTACATCCTTGACCATCTAGGCGAACAAATGCCTGTATAATATTCTCCTCCAACGTGAAGTCATTATTTAAAATAGGTGGAGTTGGAGTTCTTGATTGCAAAGGTCGTTTTCGAGGATTATTGAGTATAGGTGGGGATTGAGAAGATATGTAAGTAGTAGGTGGAGGTGTATTACCCATTGAAGGAGGAGTATGAATTGATTCTGGAGTGCGCAACATCGAGGTTGAACCATTTGATGAAGGACCTCTTCCATTAAGTGCAATTGGCATCACAATATTGGAGCTCTGGTGTTCATTCGGCGATACATACTCACTAGGGGTATGATAGGCACTCGGATAATCTTGAGTCGGTGTACCTGATAGAGAACGTTGTTGTTCTAATGTTAAATTTGACTTATAATGTGCTGATATGGCGATTTCATCAAGCCGTGGACTATAATCCCTTTGCGGCGGTGTAGGTATCCTATCAATCGTGGGAGTATGGGCAGATTGAAGTGAGGGCTTTTCAGATTCCAAATACTCTTCGATATGTGATGAGATGGTTGCTGATTTGGAGGAGCTGTCCATACCTGGTCGACTATGAACCTTTGCAATAATCTTATCAATTTGTGGCTTGGTATTTAAACCCGCTGAGATCCTTCGTGGAATCCACGGTTTCGATCCAGGTTTTCCAGCATAATAACTTCTCAGTAGCTTCAAGCCTCCATATGTTTGCTGCACTGATGAAGCATAACTTCCTTGAATGGTTTCAAAGCAAACGAAAAGTAAACATGCCATGAGAGCTGTTCTCAATTGAGGCCCATTGGAACTAGATATGTATTGGCTCAAAGCCTGAATGGCTTTGAGATGTTGTAAGACAGCAAACTCATGATGCTTCTTATTTATATCTTGAATGACATTGACTTTCAGATTTGGCCTAGGTGCCTCTTCAATTGCTTTATTGAGAGCTCCAATGGCGATTACTGCATGCCGGATTGGAGTGACATTGTGACTTTCTTGGAGAATGATATGTTTCCAAAAAGTGGGGTCGAAATAACCTGGTAGTTGGTATGCTGTTTGATCACAAAAATATCGGAAGTACCGGCCTTCATCCTCTGTTGCTTCCAGAGAAATACTAGGGGTGTATAAATCTGTTGTTGGAATTCGAGGTTGGAGTGGCATCATGATTCCTCGTGATGGGGTCTCGTGAGCGTATCCATCGCATGTTCGTCCGAACTTTCGACATCGAAGACATTGTGGTTTTGTCTCTATTGATAATTGAGATTAATTAAACGTCAATCATGTAGAATGCTGGTGTCTTGAAAGAATAACTAAGACTGTGCTTAATTCTGGTAAGATTACATCAGAGTAAATAGCAAAAACCTCGTAAGATCCATGAAATGCAAAAAAAAAAACATACCATCACATTTTACACGACGAGCTCTGGTAAATCAATGTTAGACTTCCGTAAATAAGTGACCGGAATGAAATGATAGACACTCTAAACTTACTTGCATGTAATGCAACCTGACTTGACCTTAGGTTTGCTTGCTCTACCTCTTTTGACTGGCCGCGGTCCACACTCCGAAGCCGGTAGCCGCATGGATTTGTCTGGCTTGCTATCCATAAATGATGTCCTTGAATCCCGTTTTGGTGAGATAGGTATGACTGAGGTACTAGGAAGTGCCATCACGATGCAAAAGCCAATCTGATGCGATGTGTTTGTACGAAGATCTAATTGAGTGTATGTGAGAAAATGACATTGGATTTGAGTATTGAATATTGTGAATATTCATGAAATAGTTCTTGATAGGTCTATATATAATATCTCTATTTTCCATGACGATACTCCTATGATATAAGGGAGAAATGATGTTGATGAACGAGTTAGGGTCCTAATTTGAGGGTCGCTAGTTCGTCGGGCCCACCGATAATGTATTGCAGAAGTGACCATTGAAGAGTCAGATTTAAAGCCCTGTAATTGATCATTGAGCGAGACCCGAATTTCAGGCAGAGAATCCACCATAACGTGGAAAATACAAACAAGCCCGCGTTCTAGATTGCCGAACGTCATGCTACATACATACATGAGCCAGGCGAAGCTATATATTCTGTGGCTGGGTCAAAAAGTTCTTATATATTTGTGAGGCTTCTACGGTACAAAGTGAAGGCTTCTTTCTAATCAGCCTTCAGAGATAATAAGTCAATCAAATTTCGTGGCTTTGAAGGGTGCTGAGGCATCTACAGAGTAGTGCAGTCACATGAGTAGAATACACGCCATCCCGGAATCAAACAGTACTCCGTACATTTTGTATGAAGAAGATATGCACGAATTCACAAACATCCGCTGATATTGAAATGAACTTCCCCGCTCATATCCTGGTCCCAACAGTTAGTACATTCGAGCCAAAATAACATATGCTGGCTGATTGGATCTTCATACGGAGTACGGTGTCTACCTATCTTGAGATTATCCGAGAAAATAGGGCAGCCGATAATATTAATCCACCTGCCTTTCCCAGTAATAAACGGTTAGGCAAAATTGAGATGAGCAGGGTAGAAGAAAGAATCAGTTAGATGTGAAAATGGTAATGATACCTCTATCTTGAAATGAGACTTCGTTTAAAACCCAATCCCAAGATCATCAAAACTCATGGTTATATGCTAGAAAGACAACTGGATCCCCTATTTGCGTAAAGTTACCAATTAGAAGTCTGACATCAGATTATGTGTGTGTAGGTATAGATGTAAGGGCCAGCGACTGGTAAGGCTGATGAAATCCCGGAGTGATCGAAAGTTTCCAGAAAGAAAATGTCTCTTATTCGCTGACGTGATGGAAATGGCTTCCAGACTTCTTGTCAGATCTCCGCGTTTCAAAATTGTAAGATCTTATTTTTACCCCCAGAAGAACTATTGAAATTGGATGGTACTCGAATATGATGTCTATGAATCCTCGATGCACATCATGCCTAAACCTGACATGACATTGCCATCTTTATTTACATCGGTGGAGTATAGACCGATATCGTACCACCAGCATGTGATATTATAGCTTTGACAAAAGTATAAATACACCCTCCCATATTTGCTATGCCATTCCAAAACTCCAATTAACAAACGAGGCTATTGAAATATTGAAAGTCCAAATCAAACGAATCGGGAATCAACCAGCACGAGATCAGCCGTTATATATTCTAGCCCTTGAGCCAATATAATGATGTGGAGTTTTAGTGCTAATCTAGTTAATACCTAACTAACGAACAGGTCCTTAGGCTACTACTCTGTACCTAGGTGTGATAAGGTACCAAACACTCTAGGATCACCATACATTGATTACCCGGCTATAATTTCCTCAAGTTAATCTTTTAATAAGTCTTAATATTCTCGCAACATTCTCTCATTGAGAACAATTGGACAATCGCTTGCACGAGCTTGGCAACTCTCTTATATATCTAGAAGCCTAGAAGGATATTGATACTAGATGATCTACTATTTATTAGTCCACTCTAGCTTCTAAACCCCCAAGTACAAAAACTGCCCCTAAAAGTAGAAGATATAATAAAACACCTTCTCAATACGACACCTACTATCTAGGTATACATCAACAACATGAAATAAATCCACATCTACCAATCACAACCAATTCCGCACAAACAAACAAAATCCACACCTTACCTAGGTAATAGATGAATAATCAATCAATCAACAACTTGCCTTGCTTACCCAATCTAATAAATCTCACAATTAACCACCCCGCTCGCACCATATTTGTGGAACCTTTTTACCCCTCCACTCCAGAGTCCAAAAGCATCTGATTAAAATACTCGAGCTCGAGTACCTACCTATTCAACATAATATTACCTACCTACTATATCCCCAAAAATCTATAATCTATAATCTTTTCCCAGATTCACATTCACATTCCCCTTCTCAATTCCCTCCCCTTCTCAAAAACCTCCTCCCAACCCCCTAACCAACTACACAACAAAACAAAATGGCTGACCCCTCCCTCTACACCTACCCCTCCCCCCTCACGGGCTACGAAAACCTCTCTCCTCTCCCCAACGAACTCAATCCCGACGGAAAAAGTCTCGTGAATCCTCCTACGGGGATTCAAAGCCCTAGTTACGAGAAATTTATTGAACCTTTGGATAATGGGGTTAGGGGTGCTTTGTAAGATTTCATTTTTTTTTGGTTGGTTTTTATGGGGGAAGTTTATGGGGGGATATCTTCAAGACGAATGAGTGGTTATAGATGATGACGAATAAAGCTGATGGTGATTCTACTAGTGATGTGCATATTTATCATTTTCAAAGGAATAAGGCGCAGGCTAAGTTTGCTAGGGAATTATGGGAGAGAATTAGGAGGGAATGTGAGATTTGATTTCTACATCTGGAGTTGGTTTCGTTAATACTGATTGAAGGAATATAGTCCCGGAACTTCGCGTCTACAGATTTTGGGAAGAACCAATTGGACCTCATCCTGTTGCAATGTTTGAAGTAAATATCTTCACACCTGCGCAATTTGGTGCCTTCATACCTTGGTTGGTGATTAATAGGGGTCCATTGAGTGCGTTAGTTCATCCTAACACGGTTGATGCTAACGGAGAGCTATTGAATCATGAAAGAGATCATACGCAAAGGGCAATTTGGATGGGAGAGCAACTTCCACTGGATTTGAGTATCTTCAAGAAGAAGTAGGAAAAATTTGAACAGTATGTGGGAAGAAAATAGTGCCTAAGAGGTGATCGGTAATAAGAATGTCTGTGCAGAGGAAGATTAATTTGCTAAAGGCAATGCGAACAGCATCAATGACAGAAAGAAAAATGTTTTGGAAATCATGTACTTCACCTGAACCACCAATTCACCGATGCATTAATACCACCGTCCAAACTCTTTATGCTATGCCACCATCCTTTTGGTATAAACAGGGCATCGCCGGGGCCTACCTCATCCTCGAATCCTCCCTCTATCGCCCCCTCTCCCCAAACACGTTGTTCTAATAAGGACCTTTCTGGTCCTTCCATCATCTCCTCACCTCTGATACTGGCAATTCCCGATGCACCAATACTTTGTTGTACGTTTTGATATATTCCTCTCCCAACAGTCGGTGGGAACAATCTGACCTTTTTCTTGCCAACTGATTGTATAAAGAGGTTCGGGTTTGGATCTTTGTGCAAGGGTGTATAACTAGTTGATGTCCCCATCCATATATTGGCATCGTAAACATCACCCTTCCCGGCCTTTTTCACCACTTTTGGCGTCGGCAGATCCTTTTGTAATTCTTCAGGCAAATCTGCTATTTGAGCTTGTGCAATGTAGATCGGAAGAGGATGATGTGGGCTAGTGGCGAGTAGAAAGAGTCTAAGTGGTGCGTAGAAATGATGGAATGTTTTCTTAGAATCATGAGGCTGTAATAATTGCTGAAGCTGCTCTGAGAAGTCGACATGGGATTTGTAATGTCGCATAAAGCCTTCGAGTTGATTTCGCACATTATGAGAGTCAACGGTTAATTCGTAAGGAAGAATAGTGTCTGCGAAGTATTCGAGATATCTTGTTGGCACAAGAGTGCTGGCCTCTTTGGGTATCCTATCTAAATTTGCGAATTGATCGCAAGACTTAGGCACAAACCATTTCTCAGCTATTTTTATAGAACTTTCTTTCCTTAAGGTTGTCGGAGATGCGCCATTCGTCGATCTTAGAGATACAGGTTTCTCAGAAATGAAGGCTTTCTGTCTGAATTCATCGAGGTCGACATGGTCGAAAGAGCAATCAATTGATTGAACAGGCGGTAGACTGTGGTAACTGCGTGTAGTAATTGATGAAGATATTCTTTGTGTGCATCTTGATTGGCGTATTATATTGGTCAGACGCAATGGCATAATGTGTGGTTGATGTGCGATTGTTACAATGTACTCGTAAATTACTTGAAGTTTGCAATACCATGGTTACATTTAAATTTAAAGTTTAAGCTTAATATGCTTAAGGTTGGGGAACCACCGGACTTATTGCGCATGACTGACTACGTAAATAAGGTTACCACCATCAAAACGCCATGATGAAACCTCATCTTTTTTTTAACACTCCTCAGTCAGTCCCAGTAGAAGAATCAAAGTCATACGTTCTTAAGACTTCACCTCTTTTATATATGGTATTTATCATGTCACATTTCAAGTTTTATTTTGTAAAAGCTACATCATACTAAATGCTTGCTCCTGTACCTGTACACAGTCTTGCACATATAATTGGTGTAATATAACATGTGCATGTGGAGCTGAATTTGTCACACCTCGGCCCAAGTACCAAAAAGAGATGGGGAAGTTTATCAACACCCCGCAGGAAGAAGCTCCTTCTATTTCTTATCATACCTTCAATAATCTTTCTCTCCTGCGGTATCTACTTAGTCATTTGAGATTTCAAACGCATCAATTGATCCCAAGAGACCACTTAACTGTGTCGTCAGTCAAAATCTTCCTTTATACTCCCTTGCTCTAGCGAAGCAATTTCTTGAACTCTTGGACTTAAAAGTAACCTCGGTAATAAGTGTCTCAAGCTCAAAATGTTTGTTCAGGTCGAAGGAAATGGAAATGCTACGGTGAGAACATTCATTTGACTCCTTCACACTAATATTGGAATATAGCAATAGCTAATCTTGATTGCATTCATACGTAGTATGGAAATGTAGCTCGGAGAGATCATGAAACTCAAGAATATACCTACTATCCCATTGCTATTATAGGTGCTGGTGAATCTGGGATTGCTATGGGGTGCCGTTTAAAGGAAGTCCTAGGTTTTGATCAGTTTCGCATCTTTGATAGACAGTCCGGAATTGGAGGTACATGGTGGATTAATCGATACCCTGGCGTTGCTTGTGATGTGTGAGTTCCTCGTTGAACTCGGTTATATTCGACATGGGCTCAAGCTGACCCTAAATATTTGACAGACCTTCAACATTTTATTCATTCTCATTCTGCCCAAAATATGACTGGTCATGTTTTTATCCAGGAGGCGCAGAGATGGCCAAGTATCTCCAGGCTGTTTGCGAAAAGTATGAGATAGTGGATAAGATACAAGTGAATACCGATGCTAAAGAAGCACGCTGGCTTGAATCTGAACAAGTTTGGGAAGTAACTTTACAACACTTAATGGTTGGTGCTGGAGACTTGAGTGAAGAAGATCGAATTCTCAAAGTCAAAGAGCTAGGCTACAGCGCTGTATACACATACGAAGAGAAGATTCGATGCAAAATCCTGATAAGTGCTGTTGGCGGTCTCGTCCAACCAAAGCTTTGGCCCGAGAGTATCCCTGGAAAAGATCTTTTTAAAGGAGAAATCTTTCACTCTGCTCGTTGGCGACATGATATCGACCTCAAGGACAAGAATGTGGTAGTTATTGGAACGGGGTGCAGTGCAATACAGTTTGTACCGAAACTTGTGACTGAGTATGGTGTGAAGTCCGTTACTCAGCTGATGCAGTCTCCGCCATGGGTTCAACCAAAGGTTGTGCCGCCGCTGGGAGAAAAAACATGGAATAAATGGTCACCAGCACTAAATACTTACATTCCTGGTTTTAACAAACTCCTGCGTCATACATTAGGTACGGTGGCTGAATATGATTTCAGATTATTTGGATCTGGTTCTTTCGCTGAAAAAGAGCGTAGAAAGAAGGAGGCTAAGTGTTTGACTTATATGAAAAGCAATGCTCCTGAGAAGTATCACGAGATCTTGACACCAAACTATGGAATTGGTTGTAAGAGAAGAATCTTGGATGCGGGGTGGTACTCATGCCTAAATGATCCGAAAGTCAATCTGACAACTCTTCCGCTAAAAAGTCTTGGGGAGGATACTGTGACTTTAGGGCCTGGTCGTAACTATCCACCTGAAGATGTTACAAGCTCTGCTCCAACAAACAAAATCACTATTCCTGCTGACGTCATCGTCCTTGCCAACGGGTTCCAAACAACGAAATGGTTCCATCCACTGAATGTCTATGGTAAGGAAGGGCAAACATTACAGGAAGTGTTTGAAGGACGAGGTGGTCCTCAAATGTACATGGGAAGTGCCATGGATGGATTTCCGAACTTCTTCACCTTGGTTGGTCCGAACTGCTTCACTGGACACACATCCGTTGTTTATACTTCGGAAAGTATGGTAATTCAAGCACTTAATTTTATCAAGCCTTTACTCAACGGTGATGCTACCATAGTAGAGGTTAAAAAGGAGGCCGAAATGGAATGGACCAGTCAAATTCAGTCTGCGTTAAAGAAAATGGTATGGGCTGACAGTCGTGCGAGAAATTGGTACCTCCGCGAAGATGGTTGGAATTCGAATACTTATCCGTATGCCACTCTTCCCAATCCTTCACTCTGTCCATGAAATTAATAAATCACAGGTATACCCAACTCGATTATCTTTACCGCTGTTCGTATCCAACTTGGAGACATTGGAACATCACGTATACGCGAAAGGGCCTATTAAAAAAATGGGCGACAAGGACATTTGTTCTCCTAGCCTGCACAGTTGCATTTGCCGAAGTTTATAGGAAGAGAAAGATTGGCGGTGGATTGGGTGCGAGTGAAGTTTTACGCAAATGGTTCAAAAAGGGCCTCCTAGCAACAGCATCTATATTGACGAAGATAGGCACAAGTGTGCAGTAGTGAGCCGTAACGAAGTCTCTCACGACTTGTAGGTTGTTATTTGGGATTTCATGGCGCGTATACGTATATAAAGTTCCGCTACATCAAGATGAGCTAGTACATCAACTTGACCGTGATGGCGCATAACTCGATCAAAACGAAATTTAAGATTCTTATATTTACACTGCCGCAACTCCGTATATCGAATCTTTTCTTCTTCCTGCATTGTCAATTGTATTCTGTCGGTTCCGTATCATCTTTGGCTGGTCAAAATTCGCGCCAGGACCTATAACTTTTCCCCATTTCCTAAGCATTTCATTTTGACTCATTCTAGAAGTGCTTGCAAAAGACGCTCCTCCACACAACCCCTGGGCATAAGTAGAGGTTTAAATGTTTAAAGTTCAATTCTCGCAGTTATGCGATACTTAAAGTGAAAGTGATCGAGTTGCATAGCTATAGCATCATCGTTCCTATGTAGAACCATTTTGTGATACTTTGATACGTAGCTACCCATTACGGCCTCCGCATTCAATGGTTTTATACAGATCTAAAGATAGTCGCTCAAAATCATTAAACGAATACTTAATGTACGGTATTAATTGCGTGATCACGCAGTACGGTTCAGCCACCTGGTACGGCTCATTTATGTATTTCATACGGTCCGTTTATTCTCTACGAAGCATAGATACGTTCAGTATCTCGAGACGCGCGAGTCAAGAATTGCGTACCCCGTTATGCCGTATCTCATGTTCAATATTTACCAGCCTATAAGTAAGTGTTAACCCCCCACAACTTTTGTATTCTCATCCTGAACAACATCCTCAAGATCTTCGTTTAGCAACACAAGTAATCGTCTTTCCCATAAGCAAATATCTGATCACGAAGAAACTCTACACACTCCAAGAATATTTTACAATCATTCTTCACAGAATAATCCATAAGCAATCATGTCAAATACAGAAAACATCGATGAATTCACTAGACGTCTAGGCGATATAAGAAGACGCAACCGACCCAATCAGCGACGAAATTACAACTTTATTCCTTCGCGAGGTCCTCCTGAAGCTCCTCAAGTTCCCGTAGCTTCTCGCACCTATACTTCTGCATCCCGATCATCCCGATCATCTCCTTTCAACCCAAACCCCGAATATCAATCCATACACAATCGACGAAGAGCAATCCAAGCAGCTTTTGCTGTGACGGGTCAAATGTCACTACGGCGTCCACCGGTAGTCTTAGGGGGTAGACAACCTGTTGCTCATCACATGCATAGGAATGAGCTAGATATTGCCTCAAATGAACCTCCTATCAATGATACCAGCCCTGCCCGCCTTGAAGAATTACAGAGCCAAGTTAACCACCTGCATATCCACATTGATCAACTACAAACCCGCATTTATCAACTACAGATCAGTATTTCTGAGCTACCAGCCCTCGCTGAACATATGCAAGCCAGCACCAACCTATTCCTGATCCGTATAAATCAGCTAAAAGCCCGTCTTGAACAATTACAAGACCGCATTGATGACTTCCCGATCCGTATTACTCAACTACAAACCCACTTCAGCCCTTTTCCGAGCAATCTCGAAAGTGTACAAGCTCGCATTCATCAATTCCGGGTTCGCGTTGATCATTTAAATGCACGCATCGAAAAATTACAGACTCGCATTGACCGAATGTCATCCCAACTTAACCAATTACAAACCCGCGTGGAACATTTATTACAGCGAGCACTCCTTATCATGCAGGAAGAAACGAATGCACCAAGGACCATTCCAAATCACCGACCCACTCTCTTCCCCGACTTTCCTCTCCCTCCTGTTCTAGGAAGAGACAGGCTCAATTCAATCCTAACTAGATACCAAAACACCGCCTTGCGGGTGCGCAAAACCGCTATTGAGAATCTTCTTCAGTCTGTGGATGGAGCTTGGGAGAATATCGATCTGTGTTTTTGTGGTGATCTGTATGAGCATGTGACGGCTGCGGGGGAATCCCATGCGCCTGCGAAGATGCCGAAGTGTGGTCATGTTTTTGGGAGACCTTGTATTGCGCTTTGGTTGAAGGAGAAGGATACTTGTCCTATGTGTAGGGATGAAGTTGATTTGCCTGTGGGGGAGAGGGATTATTTGAGAGATTTGTAATGAGTTGGGGGTGGATAATGGATGGGTTGGTGGTTGGTGGTTGATTTGCGGAAACACGCTGGAGGGATGGATATTATTGGTTTTTGGCATAGGGGGAGTTTTACTTGTGATTTCGAATGGTATTTGAGGAGAAACCGATAGTTCATTGGCAGTTTTCACAGAGAGAAGGATTTTAAATGGTGGATTTCATTGTGTAGAAGGAGCATATCGAATAAGGGTTGGAGAAGGGGCAATGGGATAAGATAAGATGGATGAGATATCAATGCTAACGTCTTTAGACATTCTACTTTTTACATAGCATTATTTTAAAGATGAGTTTCTTATAGTTATTGTTTAGATTGATACCAAGAATAGGAATTGATTTTACAACTCACTTCCAGTGCATAATCGTTTTGGATAGTTCTATGTGAAGTGATTGTAGAAATTTAATCTTATGATAAAAGGGCTTCAAATCGAAAATCACTTATACATGGAAATGGACACCCACACCCGTGTAGCAGTTTGCAATGACGCCATAGCAATATGCTAACTGTAGAAATTTGCGTGGTTAATAATTTAGTATAGATATGTGACATATACTTGAATATTATAAGAAAGTTGGAATTGTGGATTATATATATAGAGGCTTCCTAGTTAGTTAATCACATAATCTTTAATAGTTAATTATAAAAGAGAGACTTAGTTATTTTATTTTTTTAAAACAATCAATCTTTAATAACGTAACTTATGGTGAACCGGGTCATATGGGGAACCGGGTCACAAAATTCAATTCTCTCTATGTGATCTTGTTCTACGAGCTACACATTCATCCAATTCCAACTCTAAATCACTTGAACTACTCTCTGGCTCTTCTTCTTCAGTCTCCTCTTCTAATTCTTCAATTGGACGTTTACGTGGTCGCCCTCGTGGCTTTTTCTCCTTCGGTTTTTCCTCCGCCTTACATACCATTTTCAGTACTTCCTCACTACTAAAGACAAATTGACCTTGTAATTTGACTCTTTTGCCTTTAGTTCTCTTCTTTCGAGTCTCAATTACTTCCTGAGCATCAGCGAGCTGTTTCCGAAGTAGGGCTATCTCAGCATTTTGAGATTCTACAAGCCTAGTCATTCTCTTGGTATATCGACGAGTTAGTGATGCAAGAGAATCATTATCTGCTAGAGCTTTATTAAAGGTTTGATTTGCTTGCCTTAGCTCTGTTCCATCTGGAGGAGAGCTCCTGAGTATAGATAAGTCTAGATCTTGATTGGACATTCTCATTTGTGGAGTAGAAGGTTGCTGGGAGGAGTTAAATGGTAATGAATCGAGTACTTTTCGTAGGGCAAAAGGTACTAAACCAGCTCCTCTCCAATTAGCTTTAATATTAGAAGAATTCAGTGCTTTTTTTCTAATATTTTGAAAGAGTTCTACCCATTCAGCTCTTTGAATTCGCTTTACACCAGCTCGAGAATATCGATCGACCTCTAAAGCATGATATCGTTTCATTAGCCCATACACCGTAATATCAAGTGATTGAAGCAAGTAGGAGCAATGAGGAGGTAATATAAGTAAATCGATTTCCTTCTCTATATAGAAAGCAATAAAGCTGCTTGTAATATGACTTGAATGGCCATCCATGATCAAAAGTCGAGGTCGGTCATCTGATACTTTCTTGGATTCTGGTTCGAAAACCCTTTTTAACCATTCTAATCCATGACTATTTGAGGTCCATCCATTTGTACTCGTAGAAAACTGCCAGCTTTGAGGCGTGTCCTTTGGAATCCATACAGAATTCGTATTCTGAGCCTTAAAAATGATCATAGATGATAGAGCCTTTCCAACTGCATTGACACATTCAAATGCAGTTATCCATTCTTGCTTGCCAGCTGTAACTTTCCAATTCGATTTCTGAGTAGAATCGATTATAATACGTATACTTTGAGTACTTCCAACTCCAAATCCGGTTTCGTCTATATTATATATATCATCTAATTCATACTTTCGTTCAATAAGACGTATACAAAACGTATCAAACCAAGTCTGAATATTCTCCGGAGTTGTTTCTTTAGTCCGATTAGACTCTAATTGATGTGAATAGCATATTTTAAGTTCTGGATGTCGTTTTTGGAATCTATAGATCCATTTGTGGCCTATAGGTGGAATTTCTGTCGAGGTAGGAATTCGAGATGATGCGACCTGAATGCGTCGAAGACGAATTTCGTCGGCCATTTCCTTCACCAACATAGATGTAGCAGGGAATCCAGTGATGGTAAATCGTGAAATCCATTGTACAAGAGTATTTTCTTCTGCGTTTGAAAGAATTTGAGCCATTTCGTGGGATTGAGTATGTGATTTCCTTCCAGCGACTCTAGCTATGAGAGTTGACTTAGGAACTTCAAAATACTCTGCAGCCTTTCTAATTGATTTAAAGTCCTTCAATTGAAGTGCAATAATAGCATTCTGTATCTTCTCTTCAATTTGAGAAGGCGTAAGAGGTGATTCGGTATGCATAGCAAAATTTGTTGGGGTTTGAAGTCAGTGATGGGCTAAATGTGACCCGGTTCCCCATATGACCCGGTTCACCATAAGTTACGTTATATATATTTTTGAAAATATATTATTCCACTTCAAATCTATTATGAAAGCTATTCTACTCTCTAAATGATATATTATAGTATAATCTAATCAGTTCTTTCTTTCAATTCCCCTTTATCGTGTACTATCGGGATGTATATATCTCGACCTATTACTTTTACAATATACCAGGTGAATACTCAGAACTACAGAATATAAAAGTTTCGGTTATAACTCACCATACAGTAAGCGAAATCCACCAGTGATCATACCAAAATTGACGATTTTTCGCCTTTTTGAATCTTTATTATCTTTATCAAAAATAGAAATAATTCAATAAAAATTATATTCATACAAAACTAATCAATTTAAATTTAATTAAAATTTAATTAAAATTTCTTTTTCTTTTTCTTTTTCTTTTTCTTTTTTTATTGAGAATTTATATATATGTTAAAAGAATTGACCTCACACAGGGAATAGTGGGAAGCTGATAGAGCAGAACTGAGGTAATATTGGTCTAGTAGGTTAATCTCTCTTCTAAGTTCTACGGAAGTGCGAAGCTCTCTTACAGAGAGCTTCTCAATCTAGTCCTAATAGGACTAGTGCCCTGTGCATGTGCTACGCAGGAACCATTCACTTTAACAATATATTTAAAATTGAAAAACTATAAAAGTTTAAAAAATCATTTATTTTATATAATGAAAAGTTTAAAAAAGTACTATATAAATGAAATTTTTAACTTTTATTTTATTTTAAATATATATGATCTTTTAATAAGAATATTTAAAAATAAAATATACAATTTCGTTTTGGTGTGACCAAAAGGGTGTTTATAGACCAGCAATTGTATTTAACTTAGAATCTACAGGTGAAGAGCACCTGTAGATGGGGATAGCTACTCTATATATACACAAATGAATGGTCTAGCCGCAATGGCTAGGCAAAAAGAAGTCATATTTATTCCTCCAATGATCTTACTTTACCGATAACCGTTGATACCTAGTACTTGTCCGGATCTGATCCTCAGGTCACCTAAATCGTATACTAATCTCGAGTAATCGTATCATGTGTGGACATGGTTAATGTACCTGAGGTTTCTTATATAATAAGGGTGGGAGGAAAGCAGGGATTTCCGTCACATTTGGATTATTTTAATAATTAATTATTGTAATTCAAAATTTTGATTGATTTGATTTAATATTGAAAAAGTTTTTTAGTACTTATATTTGTATAAAAAATTATGGTTTTTGTGGGGATTTTGTTATAAATTCAAATAATATATAATAAGTGATTTTCAAAACTTTTACAATTCAATATCCATCAAAATCTTTATGAGTAATAATCCAGAGTGTGACGGAAACCCCTGCTTTCCTCCCACCCTTATTATATAAGAAACCTTAAATACATTAACCATGTTCACTCATGATACGATTACTCGGGATTAGTATACGATTTAGGTGGTCTGAGAATCAGATCTGAACAAGTACTATATATCAATAATTATCGGTAAAGTAAGATTATTGAAGGGATAAATATAATTTCTTTTTGTTTAACCATTACAGTTAAACCATTCATTTGTTTATATATAGAGTAGCTATCCCTATCTACAGGTGCTCTTCAACTGTAGATTCTAAGTTAAATACAATAGCTGGTCTATAAGCACCCTTTTGGTCATACAGAGGTAAGATTACATAAAACACCGGTATAGACAGAGATCCGGATGGTCAATACTGCATATTAGCTTAAATCATCCACAAGTGGTTGATATGGCGTTGGAAATATAGCTTGTGAGCATCAAATATGCCACTTGAGGAGTTTAATACGTGATGCCGCACTTTTATACACCGTATTGCAAAGTATTGTATTGGGAAATGCTGCATTGGCATGCTTTCCAGACATCTTATATACAGCGTCTTCTAACCTATTACTATCCATTCTTATCCACATCTTGCTACCTTTTGTAAGATAAGCAATAGCCAACGAATGGTAACACACCACACGAAACTAAATAAAAGGCCTTATCTTAGCCATTGAAGAACCTCCTACAATTTCATATATCTTCCACATAGGACGAACCAAAGATTCTGTCACAACAGTCATGCAGAGACTTCGCGGTGCAATCCGTTACTTGGCTGAAGCAAGACGTGCAGTGAGAAGAAGCGGTGCAAACGGCAACGATCGAAACATGGAGGGTTACGAACAAATTCAGGGAGATGGCCAAGAAGCCATTGACTCCCACGATTCTGCGCAGCGACTATCCTTAGATGGACATCTAGAAAACCATCAACCAACGTTGCTAATGAATGGATCAGTCGATTTAGGCCCAGAGCGCACCAATAACATCATCACAAATGAGGAAGCTACACAGGAGAACCCAACAGTCCAAAACAACACATATTCAGTTCTTGGCGACGATATGGTAATATCTTCACTAAATTCAACATTGCCAGCTACATACATTATGGGTTTATCAACTCCCATGGAAATAGAACTTCTGATGCCAGAAGACTATTACAATGATCGTATCACCAATCTCCAACAACAAGGACTAATTTCCATTGGAAGCGAGCCGATATACATACCTACGGAAAGAGAAAATGCTATTATGCAGATCCTCACACCAGTTACTAGCGGCATAGATAAACTTGAACTTTGCTTCTGTGGCGCGCCATACGCGGATACAACGTCAAAAATTGAGAATGATCCGCATGAGGCGGTTAAGTTATCGGAATGTCCTCATGTTTTTGGAAAACATTGTATTGTGCAGTGGTTAAATGAGAATCGGGTGCCCACTTGTCCGATGTGTAGGAAGAGGGTAATTTTGGTGAGGGATGTGCCGGTGGAGTGGATTCAGGATATGTATAGGGTTATTGATTACCATTATTCGCAGCCTGACTAGTATGATTAGATTTGAGGTAATAGTAGAGATTGCGTAGCGGTGGGATCGGGTGGATAGATTGTTGAATTAGCCGGGGGATAGTATCAGTATCAACTTTGATTTTATTAGATGAAAGAGGCTGCAGTTAATTCAATAGCAAATCAATGAATCAATGTTTATGCTCATGATAGATGGTTAGCTTTGCTTTTTTCTTGCGGATGTGATCTAAAGTGCAGTTTGAAAGGAGTTGAACTCATATAGCTATTAAAAGAACTATCAAAATCTCTCGTCATTACCGGAGGCAGACCTTCTTCATTCCCCTTTCGAAAATGACCAATAGTGAAAATGATAAGAACAATGGATAGGATATTAGAATACCGTAGAATTTAGCGCATAGCCATATAAATGAGCAGTACCCATATGCCTAACAACCACTGGTGAGTTACATGACTGCAGTACTATTCTTGCGCTAGTACATATAACTAGACAGTACCAGCCCTTCAATTGTTATATAAACACGAAATTCCTCTTCAAAATATTCTCCATCATCTTAATACACATCAATATCTACAACGAGACCGCTTCTATTTACCTGGCCTTGATTGACTGAAGATACCTCCAACCTTTAGATAATTGAACAACACTTCGACGGTTAACTCCTTATTCCGTCATCCAATATTAACAAAAACCTTCTTCAAAATGTCTGATTTTATGAACTATTTCCGTAGCGTCGGCCGCAACATCAACGGCGTTTTTCATAAGGGTGTCGGTCGTGGATACAAACCCCCAGGTAATCCTCAACACAACTTCGCCAGAGAACCCCCGGGCTATGATGAAGGGTTTGGACGAGCATCGCGCATTGCAAGAACTCAGAAGCATCATGTAGACGTCAACGAGGATGCATACAATGTTCCCGCTACTTCTCGGCTTTACCCAGTGTCGCTGCAACTAACTATTCCTATTTCACCCGCGGATACAAACATACAAATTACCGCTGAGTCATGCATATATCGTGAGCAGGATGATACCACCATGGAAACTCCTCCTCAATCAAGAGAAGTTACCCCTGAACCAGAACTACATCATCTGGTAGATACTATTGCCGCTCAGTCTGCCGTCGAACCAAGAACAGACGATCCTGAGCTAGAACTTCATCAATTGGAAGATACTATCAGTGCTCATTCTACCCTTCGAGTCAGAGTAGATAACTCTCTGCAATCTTCAATCCGTCTGCGAGGCTCGAATATTGACCAAGATACCATGCTACAAGCAAGAACTGTTGGAAATCCAGAACCACGAGCCACAGTATCAAGACTTCCAACGGCTCTTAGGTCTGCGTCCTTGCAAGAAAGATTTGGTAACACTGGCCAGTCCACTTCACCACGAGTGACCTTTCATGCAAATCAATCTGAATATCGACCTGGTGGCAGTGATACTGTTGAGCCAAATTCGGTACAACCAAGAGCTGTAAGTGCTCCACAGCCCGCTTTACGATCAAGTACTCCAGTTGTTTTTGGAGCTGCTTCGTCGCAGCGAAGAGCTGTAGCTGCTCCTTGGACTCCATCGCAATCAAGTATTCCCATTGCTACTAGAGTGGCATCATCACATCAACGTGTCAGAAGGGCTGATCAGCTACCTCCTTCACGCGAAGCCTTTACAACTTCTGCCCGGTTTCCCTTGATGAACGGACAAGATCCAGCCCCCTCAGAGCAAGTCACCTTAACTAGACAGAGACACTGTCACAACGTGGTACCAGAAGAATTCGTCATCCCTAATCGATCTACGCCAAGAATTTATGGTACTCCCCAAGAAAGTTCATTATCAGGAGATCTTCATGTTCTGAGATTGTACAATCCATTTGATGGGGCTGGTAGGCCAAGTTTTGCGACCCATATGCAAACAACTAGTCGCCAGGCTGTACAAAGCAACGGAATCAGTTCAAGCACAGCAGCCGGTAACACATCACGCAATGGGCTTCAAATTACACACCACAACGGTACTGGCAGGTCATCAACTAGTCATCAACATGAACATCGTAGTGGTGCTTGTTACAGTACTAGGTCGAGGAGAGAACTTGCTCATTCCGAAAGCATCGAAAATATGGATGTAGAAATGAACCCTTCAACTGTAGAACCCGTTACCAATTTCTCCAGACTCAGACATCCAGAGCCCACCACTCTATCTAATTTCTCCCCGTATGAGATTCAAAACGAGTATCTAGCCGAAGCATATATGAGACAAACTGGCGGTCCATCCCTTGCCCAAAGACTTAAAGCTGAGCGACCTCGCCGTGGTCTACCTCGGTCACCTGGTATGTACAATCTTCCGACGGTAAATGATGAAATCAATCATACTATTCACCCAAATGACTTCCACAACGATGGATACCATCCCATTGACAGGGATCCCGGTCGACATGCAGAACGCGCACCAGCTCCAGCACACAGTCCAGCTAGTGGTAATTTGAGACAACACCGTGCACGTAACAGTCATGGAAGTCGCCAAAGACGCGCTGCACGCCATCGAACAGCAATTGCTAGGGAAGAAGCACTTGCAAAAGAGAATGAAAGTAAAAAGAGAAAGCGAGAAAGAGACAGAAGAGAAAAATGCATCTATAAGGTTCTAGGCCAAGTCAGTATGAACGATTGTTTCTGCGAGGATGGATATGATGATGCTGGCGAGCCTCATGAACCTGTGAAGATGCTAAATTGTAGGCATGTATTTGGGAGGAGCTGTATTACAGAGTGGTTGATGGTTCATAATACTTGTCCGCTGTGCAGAAGTGAGGTTCCTCTTTCACCTTAAACGGTCCACTTTTGATCAAGAATATGCCTAAGATCGGCTGAGTTTAAATTTTGGAAGGATAGATAGGGAAATGACGGGAAAAATTTGATGATTCAAATATAGATGTAGTTGATTTGGTGTTTACTGGATGGCTTTGATGCAAGATGAAAGGGTTTGGGAAAGTTAGCTTGCGATGAATTTCCAATCATTGTTTGCCACTTGAGCTGGTGCTCAGGAAAAACCAGGCTTCAGATTATAAAATGGAGGAGTGTAGTGCGAAGGGGGTTAATTAGTTGGGAAGGAAAGATTCACCAACCACATTGGTGAAAGATCACATGAGTAAGAATCATGAAGCTGTGGTTTAGCATGGACGTGTATTGAGTATTTATTATGGTTTCATTAGGCTTATGGCAAATATTTACGAAAAAGAATGTTATCTCTCCTATTATAAACAGGCTGATAAAAAATTAGGCAGAGAGAATGCAAATTACCTCTATAAATACTGCGTAATGCACGTGACCTGTATATAGTGACTATTCAATATTATCCATGCCTCGGAGCTATTTGCATGTACATGTATGTATGCGGACGGCTACTTTATAACTTTTGTTTCATATTTTGATGTCATATTACACAAAGATTGGAGGGGGATAATAGAGGAATAGTACAGCGGACGAATCAAGCATACAGCGATTATAAATATCGTACGGATTAATCGAAGTTATAGGAGATTTATATAACTAAAGGGTTGCAGGAGTCAATCAGTGCTTGAATCTAACATATAAAGACCAGATACTTATTCTGGACTACGAAGCACAGAGTATGGATACCATCTAGCGATCTTTGATGTGGCCATATTTAGGTGACCTAAATATGGTTTTTTGATTTCCTCAGAGCTTAGATTTTGAAAGATTCCACGGTTCTTTTAAGTCTCCAATCCTCGGGCACTTCAAATACTCACTTTTGATGTAGATTGTGAATTATCGTAATCATTGGGTAGAGGTTTAGCTTCCTTGACGGAGGTGAAACTCTTAGACGATATCTTGTCTTTAATTGAAGCTTTATTAAATTTTCTATATAAATAATATTTACTGCTTTCAATGTGTACCTAATATGTGATACAGAATGTATAATATTAAAAGAGTACGATGATTAAAGCTAGCTAGGTATTATTTATGATTCTGTCAGTAGCCAAATGGCCAATCTTATCATAAGAGGGCTCTTTCGTTATCTTCTTATATTATATCTGTGGGCACTAGACAGAGATCTTGGTGGAAAGACTTTTAGTTAATAAAATGTATCCGATATTTTTTAGGAAAGTTCTTAAAAAGGTTTAGTGTGTTGAACTAAATCCTTTTAAGGACTTTATTTTTATATAAATTCTATCCCCCAGATAGTTGATTAGAAGTTTTATTTACAAAGAGGGTAGCGCCCTTCGATAAAAAAAATGGTACCGTCGGTCCCTAGATGGCTCAAGTGGGACATCGCAAGAGAAGAGCGAGCACCACGAAATCACCTATACCACATGTAAATAGACATTCAGTTCCTAGTACATAACCCACTTTCAAATATTCACTACTATTAGTGAGACTAGTGGCGACCGATATGACTCCTTGGCATCCTCTGCACCTCAAACACAACAAGCCCTTGGAATTAACGTAGGCTATGCTGCATTGAGAGACAATCTTGATATCCCAAGTTATTGCTGCCGTACTTTGGTGGTATTATACCATACGCCTGGGTGCTTGCATCTGCCTATTCCAATTTTTTAATAGCCTCCTCTATAAAAACCTCAATCACCACATCGATCATCCTCTATCCTCAATTAAATAATTCAATTTTCAAATCATCAAATGCAAGACATAGCACATATAAAGCAACACAAAGAAATTACAATTTACCTTCGAATTCCGAATATCAAAACATCCAAACGTGAGAGTTATGCCATCTGAGGAAAATAGCGCGTCGGGCCCTGCAGGTCCGTATCATACAGAATATCAAGGGGATTCTGAATCTCTTGAGCTTAATGAGAGTGTTTACGACGGGGACATTTCAGATGATCTTACCGATAACGAGCTCCAAGACGCTGAGCTTAGTGAGCGCCTTCACCAAGAGGTTTCGGATTATTTTTCGCGGAATGTAATGGACAGGCAGCACATTTTTGGGGCTTTTAGGCTCTATGAACGCATTTTGATTGAGCATCGTGGTAGGAGCAACAGCAGGGTGCTTAGGGCGGCAGATTTTAGGGAGCAGGTAGCTGGATTCTCAAATGTTTTCATGAGATATTTGATCCATGTCAGGAATCCAGCAATCAAGCTTGGAACAAGAGATCAGGCTATCGACAACCTTTTGATTCCAGCACCAGTTGATGAGACACAAGCAGAATTGGAACCATGTCCCATCTGCAACGAAACATTTGAGGCAGCAACAGGGGATGGTAAGAGTCGTACAAACCATGAAGCTTGCATGTTGCCCGACTGTAAGCATGTTTTCGGGAGGGAATGTATTGGCAAGTGGCTGAAGAAAGCGGGAAAGAACACTTGTCCAATGTGCCGCGCCAAGATCGACCTTTCTTCTTTTCGCGCTTCAAATACTTTTAAGGGGCTAAGGGAACTAATGGCTGGTGTGCGTCGATAATGGAGGTGAATTTTATTTGGGAATAATCGTTGGGGATACTGCTAGTTCACGGAGTAGGGCGATATTTTGTATCTGGAGTGGTGAAAGCTGGCATTTTGGTGGGACTTGTGAATTATTTCTCACAAACAGAATTGAATAGCTGAGCGATGCAATGATCTTGGAGAAAGAATACAGGAGCAGAGAACAACAATTTTATCAGAAATCCTTCAATTGAACTACCTAATAAGATGAAAGTGAACAATTGTCCTAAATAGCTGGAAGTCGAGACCAGAAGTAGTGAAGAATTCATATCCATCACTCCACATTACAAGAGAGGATTATAGGTAGAAATGAGAGAAGAATGATACTTCTTGTGAGTCTTTAGTTTGGTTCATGAACTAAATTAAATGTGTGTGTTATCTATAGAGCCAATGAACTAGTTATCTTCCGATGGTCTTTCCTGGTACATTTTTGGAGTCTTCATGATCTTTCCCAATACAGTTTTAGGATGAATTTTGAATGACCAGACTTGAACCTTGTGGAGCTTTTGATTTTTTGAAATGGAAGTGACCTTTAGCACATTTCATTCACATCCACGCTAATAACTGCTTAAAAGTTGATATAAGGTTTAGAATTGCTTTATCACTTAAGGTATAATTTGATGAAGTTGTCATAAATTAAATTTTTGATTTTCTCGATTAAAATGATTTCATGAAAATATTCAAGGATTAGTTTTGGAAACATAATATGAAATTGAGTGTAGTCGTCGCTTAATTTTTAACTTCATACATCACACATTTCATCTCATCACCCCGGCAACGCCGCACCCACCCCGAACTCACAACGACATTTGCGACCAAATACCAATATTAATGACACTATAATGAAACTTAAAGGATACAAAGACATTCAATTCAGGAAATCTTCATGTAACTCAAGATCCATTTACAACTTCGTCGACATTCCAATCACAGGCCAAAAGAATATTTTACCAAGGCCACGTAAATTTGGAGTCATCCGACGAAACACAGCATAACTTCAATTATATCCAAGCTCGTATAATATCAACCCCTCGGCAATACATAAAGTCTAAATTCATCACGATGTCAAAATATATCGGAGAGCGTTTATGCTCTCTTTCTTGGCAAGAAAATGAAAAAAAAAAAATACATAGAGAACGAGGAATATCGACTTTCTCAAGATGACTTGAACAGGGATCGCCTTGAAAATCCAAACTATAGCGTTCGTCGATTAATGAACATGAGGTATCAAAGATCTATTGAAACTCGGTCGGAGCTCGATACCCAAGGAGCCCCCATCAAGCTACGAGAGCAATTCAGCCGCCAGTTCTGGTCCGACATCAAGTGTGGCTGTCACCAAAGAGAGTTTCGTGAAAAAGAAAAAGGAAATATGCTATGTGACGGGGCTCATGGTTCTAGTACGATACATAAACCTGGTCTGGACTTTTCGTCGCACCGGTTCAACGTCGCACACAGTCCATCTGCTCAAAATCCATCATCAAATATGATACCTAGAAGTCTTCAGCAAAATAAAGGACTGCATAAACAGAGCATCCAATTTCAGATTTTTTCCGCTATTCGGAAAAATCAACAGGGAGGGTCGGAACTTCGTGCGCCACACGCATCTCATCAATCCTATGCTGCATTAACCACTTCTCCTGTAGCAATAGATGGAATTATTCCACGAGAGAGCACGCAATCATACCAAGGAGCGGTCACGCAGACGGACGAAGCCCTACACCCATTTTTGCCATATGGGTCTATGTAGATAAGTCGAGGTAATGCCACTGATAGACAAGCTAGGTTCAATGGCGTATCATTCAATTCATCTCAAACTCTCGCATTTCCGAAAATAACTGGCTCCATGATAGATGGCCCTCAAGCAAACTTCTCGCTTCCTACAATAGATCGTACCTTACCGCAAAGAACAAACTTCCGAGTCGCAGCAATGGAAAGACATCAAGAGTTACTTCAGTTTTTTCGTGAACCAACGGAAATATCCGCAAGAACAAAATTAGAGGCTGTGGAAATCGATGAAAATGCAGAAACAAACCAAACCTCTGGTGCAAACAACATCAGACAGCTACCATCGGTAGAAGTTAGGGAAGCTGCGGCAAATGCAGCTGATGAGGCAAGCGATACAAACATAATCAGACCGTCGTTGCAACTGCGGATTGCAGGCGAAATGGAGATATCTAGAAGACGAAATCAGCACTCGTATGATCTAAGACTCGAACGGATCAAAGAACTTCTTGTTCCCGGAAATGTGAATGATTCGGATGTCTGCCCTATTTGTGAAGGGACATATACTGTACCCTTAGAGGCTCTAACTAATATCACAGAAAGGCACATGTGCGCAAATTGTTATGTAGAATATACTACAATCCACATCCCGGTAACACTCATGACGCCTGTGCTATGCCAGATTGCCTACATGTCTTTGGCAGATGCTGTATTATGAAGTGGTTGACTAACCACCAGACCTGTCCAATGTGCCGGAACATGTTGGATCTTCCATAGAGGATTTCTTCTGACGATGAAACTTCAGATAGGTGGTGACCGAGTGCTTGAAGCGAGTGACGGGGTGGTGTAACGAATAAATTCTTGAAATCGTGGTCCGCAGCCTCGTGCAATACAGTCTTGTTGGCGACTGGGCCAATTCCAATCCACTATTCTTCGAAACAAAATCTCAAATTTCCGCATCATTATCTAGGGTTGAGCGGGCTTTGTGGCATCTCGCAGACAAAAATGAAAACATCGGTTTTCTAATCGGCTCTTGATTGGCTCGGCTAGCGACAGTGGAGATTGACACACAGCGGTGATTGGCAGATGGTAATAGCTAGCTATACCGAAGCTCAATAGGGTCTATCAATGATGGTTCTTAGTTTTTCTGCTTTTATTCGGGGATTTCGGTCGCATGTTCAATTTAATTGATGGATGCCCAGCGAACTAGAAGGGTATTTCTACTCAGCTAATGTTAAATCACTGAGTCGGGTGTGTGTCTTCAGGAAAAGCGTTGGTACAAATATATAATTTTTTGAAAAAAAAAAAGTCAAACAGGCCTTTTCACTAACAGGAAATGCTCTTATGCTATTGTACAACTATGAGCCTGTGTATATGAAATAAATAAGCTTAAATTGCTTAAATAGATACTATGAATTCATTACTTGAATATAGTACTTTCTATAAAATCAGGATGAATAACACAAAAATCTCCAGACCTTTTTACTTAAAATTACTAAAAAGTACTAGTTCTCACTTTTGTTCCTTTCATCACACCCATGTAATATCAAAAATGCTTATAATATTCTGCAAGTATTGTTCTGTATCATCTCCTATCTACTGTACACTCTCTAACCTCATCCAATCACTAATCTAGGCCCAATTTTCATAGTTATTCACTTATTAACACCATTCACTCAATTTTACCATACTGTTTTTTTACTGTTTCACTTTTTAAAACTACTATAAGGCTGTACTTGAGCAAATTTTAATTTGAATAAACACAACATTGATAAGATAATGAATGCGATAGCGTACAAGGCACCCCTTTAAATACATCTCAAACTCCACCCTCAAAAACCATTTTCCTATCCATTTATTAAATCTCCAAATACTATCATCAAAAAGTGCACAAAACTCCAACGAGTATCCGATTTTCAAACACACCACAAAATCACTTTCCTGTCATCTAAATCTCATCAGAAACCATGCCTGCAGAAACATTCCATACGTTCCTTGCTCCCCCACCAAGGTACAATTTCAACCGCCCCGGGAGCGCAAGAACTGCCAATGCCCCAAACCTGTTGATCGCTATCAAGTCACATGGCATAACACTCAACATCATATCGCCCGGCGGGAGCATGTCACCCGAACACCCGGAATTCGAAAATATTGTCCTCGCAGCTATCGATATCGCAAGTGATGGCGCTCCAAGATTATCCGTTGGCAAACTCTATTTCAATCCTATCCTCCTTGGAGAATTGCGAGATGTAACTCTGGTTACTCGGGATGGAAAGGAGACAATGTTGTTTGTTGAAATATTCTGCAGCCATAAGTATCGAGCTAAAGCCATCGAGAATATGCTTCAATCGGTTGATGCTGGAGCTTTGAAGTTGGATAAATGTAGTATCTGTATGGAGTCGTTTGATGCGGCTAATGAAAATAAATTCAACGATCATAGAACAGCCAAGTTGCCCGAATGTGGACATGTTTTTGGTCGATACTGCATCACTAATTGGTTGGAGATGAACAGCACATGTCCGATGTGTCGAGAAGAAGTGGAGCTGGTACTTGAATTCGATCTACGAGTATGGGTGGATTGTGACTGGCAGATGCTTTAGTCGTTGAATTGTCTTGTGGCCATTAGGAGTTGAGGAAAGATTGATCAATCGCTTGCGTTTATTTCAGTGTTCAGAATCCGCTAATAGACACGCAAATAGATGTAAAATAGGAGAGCAAACATTCATGATGTATCCATTATATGCCTTTCCTTGACACAATTGTGACTAACCAACAAAATAATAAACTTTGGGATAACTTGAGACAGGTTTTCAAGCATAAGAGATTAGAACCTTGATACTCCCCTTTCCATACTATATTATCCCAAATCATAAAATTAACCAACGACTGGAAGTTGTTTTCCCATTCCCTCTCGAATAAAATGCTATTTATAGTTAGTTTCAACCACCAAACCCCGAAAAAGCCTCTAATTTTATCAAGAGCATCTAATATATACACAACATACCAAGCACATAATCTTTTATCAAGGTAGACTTAAGTTTTCAAAATTTCTCACATCATATCAATCATCATATGACGTATATTGAACTTCCAAATATCAAAAATAATCAATCTGCCCGACCCATTCTATTAACAGCAAATAGAACAGGACTTCAATATCACAATAATGAGATAGATTAGTAGGAAATAGTTTCGTATGCTAAAATTAGGTAACCATGATACGGATTTAAGATACATATATCAAGGCCGCAGGACCTAATGAATACAAACCCTAGATGCTTGACTTGTAGTGACTAATTTGCGTAAACAGGTTTCATGGAGGTACGGTACGAAACCTCTGTATACATAATTACATGTGACATTTATGATGGCGCAGGTTTATGACGTTTATGAATCATGCGTATACATACCGTATCAATGATATTTGACGTTTACAAATTAGCGCTGGCGGTAGGAATGCGTGTTGAGGTTGTTCACGGTTCATGTAAGATCTTATTAGCACCGGCTGTATAGGAGAATCGTACTTTATCTACTTCTATCGTCGGGTACTTAATAGCTAGCCACCTCCCCTCCAATAATCTTTCTTACACTTTCATCAAGGCATTGACAGCGATACTTCGATCACACCAAGAAGCTTTTATCAGAAGCTTTAGTACTATCTCAGCCCAGTCCTCCATTCGCTGTGTTTTCAACTCTTTCCAGCTACACCAACGAGCACTTATCACTATGTCTTTACTCAATTGTATTCGTGGGAACTTCAAAGCTCGTGCTGAGCGTAAACGCCAAGCTATTGACGACTTTAACAAACATGAGGACGAAGAGACTTCTTCTGAAAGTTTTGCCAAACAGAACCCTGTTCTGCTTGATGAAGCTACTTCCTCTGGGGAGCGCACATCCGAGGAAAATTTTACGTGTACCACCCGAAAATCAACCCATCGTACTTCCAACTTTGCCTTTCGAGCCACAGAAGAAAGCCCTACATCTACCTCTACATCTACCTCGACCACTACCACTACCAATCGTCGAACTATCAGCAGTCGGTCATCACAGGCCACAACGCTTCGTGGCCCTGCTCTACATAATGACTTGAATGAAGATCTTGATAGCGAAGATGTCGGTGGTAATGATTCATCCACCGCACCACCATCCCCAGTCTCTAGAAATCATGATCGTTCCAGCATGTCTTCTCATCCCTCCATCACACTTCAAAGTTCTCATCAGGCCAACGGCCTCCACCGTCAATGGTTGAATAACCGTCGACGAATTAATCACCGCTTGCTTCCAGAAAACAATAACTATCTATCAGTGGAGCACCATCAAGACTTCGGTGCACCTCTAGAGAGAGTTAACGCAAGACAACCCCATCCAAGTTTGAGCACCGGAGTGCAAGATCAGGTTGGAAACCAAATGGATCGAGGTCCTGAACATCCTTATTTTGACTTTAAGACAGAGAATCCAGATCTCGAAGATGCTTGGGCCAACAGTGATCGCGCACAAACAGATTATTTGGAGCTACTCTTTGGGTCACCTCAAGCCCCACTATAATACCCTCAATTTTCACCGAATCAAGATCTTCATCGTCAGGCCCAGGCTGTTCGATTGGCCTAAGTATGTTGTAACTGGGCGGGGCGGAGAGATTTCTGTCTGGGGAAATGGTCGAGTGGGAAAGACAGATTTTAAACCTTCTGCATGAGGGATGGATTTGAGGATTTTCTGGTCCGATGAATAAACTCGGAGGCGTTGGCAACAAGACGGAAGGGAGTTCATTATTTTTCTTAAGTTTTCACATGTCATTTTTACGTCAACTATTTTATGATGATGCTGCATAGATATCCATTTTGAGATGCGATGTATTTCCTTGAGCATTTGGGATATGATGATTTTCACTTTTTTTCCCGGCACGATGGTGAGATGGATTAGATGTTTCTTAATTATTAGAACCAAAAAAAATTATTATAGTAAAATCTTTCGTGAGAGTCAATAATTGTGAATATGTGAGCAGTAATGGTCAATTTTTCTGTCTGGTATTGAGTAGAGGATTATCTACCCTTTTTTTCCCCAATTCTTTCTCAGTCTGGATAGAAATACTGCTAAACTACTTCCGAATCAGCACTTAGTGACATAAGCAGTTCAAATAGAAATTCTTCGAAGCTAGTTTAGTTGAGCTTATATCCCACTTACTTGAAGCTAGCTGCAGCACCGTCTCCAGACCAATGGCACAGGCTTTTCTCTTGAAAAGACCCTAGAAAACCCAAAGATAAAACATTGAAAATAACTCTTATAGATGGTAAAGGCACATAGATGACAATTAAAGCAATAGATAGTGAAGAGGAGTGAGAGATGAGATATAATTTCCACAATATAGTCGTCGGGGAAAATAGGGGAAGATGACTGTGAGGCATGTTTTCACGGCCGGCACCTGAGGAAAATTGCATTCAGAACCAAGTCTTGAGCCTCAAGTTTGCGACAAGCCTTTGAATAACTAGTACTTCCATAATTGGCAAGGTGGAAGAGCAACAGAGAAGCTTATTCTCCACACTCCTGCTGCATAGAGTATAAGCCCAAACTCTATCCACATGTCCTATTTCCTTAGCGCCAGTATTTGAACGTTTGAAAAAGCTTAAACTGTGTTGGTGGGAACACTAAACTAGATGAACGACATCACTCAAGATAGATATAAGAAAAATGATCAAAAACAGCGAGCTAAGTATGGATCAGATTCAAATACGGAGAAACCAACCATACGATTTACAAGAACATACTGAAATACTGACACAGCAGGTTTTGACACAGATAGTACAGTTTTCTTCAATTTAAGCGAGCTAGAGAAAGTCGCGGCATTTATACTGAGAGATCAATCATCGTTAACATCTTCACCTTTTTATTTTTTATCACTTCCTCCTCAAAAGTTCTTAAGAGAGTCAAGAGAGAAGAACCAATCTCGAGACCCGATTCTTCACAAGAACTTCGTTCTCCCAAAAACTTCATTCGTCTTTCCATAAAAACAACTTCAACCTTCTCATCATAACCTCAAACTTTCTAACAATAATCTGAATTTCCAACAGCAGATTTCAATTTCTCTGCCAAAAACTAACCATGGCACGAATTCTCGCTCCGATCGTTCGTTACAACGATTCACAATGGCGCGCAATAAAATCCAGTACGTTTACATTCTTCAACTCGCACTGCGGTCTTCCATCTCAATCATCTTGTTTCAAAAGAGCCATTCAACTAACATAAAAGTAGAAGCAAATAACAATCATTCATCTCTCAAGCCCGAAGATATCGAAATCATCAAAGAGGTTATTAGGGTTCACAATGCTATTTGTATGTCCATCTATCTATCCACTCATCCTAATATTGTCGCGCTGTTCCAATATCTGGATAACAACAACCCAACCTGGAAACCAAAACTAATGCGCAAATTACAGTGAATAATACAGATCCGACACCTCTTCCACAATTCCAAGATTCCATTAGATATGATGAAAGACAAGTTATCAGGTACTTCCTTTGGAGTAGAGGTACGCATCTCCCCACTTTTTACTTCAATACCCCGAAAGAACATGGCACCATTTCTCCTTGCTCCCTTTCACCCCTTCTTGGACCCTCCCAAACCCTAAGATTCCCACTAATCCACCAGTAGTCAGAGAAAACAACAGCACATTCACCCTTATCAGTACCTACTACCTTCCCAAGCGCCGTCCTCAGGGCTGGGGTAGTAAGCAGCAGAAACAAGCAGATGAGGCTATGAGACCAAGAAGAGATTCGCGGGGAACTACATATGGATTCGTGAGAAGACCTGAGAGAAAGGTTGATGATGCAGTTGAAGATACTGCTGTGGAGAGTGGCGAACCAGAGGGAAGTGAGGTCGCCGCTAATGAAGATAGAGGTGATATTGGGGTTGGAAGTGAAAATGGGACCCTAGCCATGGGAACTAGTCCTCATGCGAAGCAAAATCCTACCGGGGAAAACAGTTCTGGTGGGGAAAGAAGAATTCGACGTTTGAAATTGAAATCGAATACCAGCCATGAGTTCGTTCGTCGGAGCGAAAGAAGAATTGGAGGTGAAGTCGCTAATAAGAACCTTGAAACTAGTATGGAGGGTACTGGAGAGTTTGTCATGAACGAGAATACGGACAAGACCAAGGGTATGAGCAGTTTGGAAACATCGCAGGATTCGACAGATTCGAAAGGATCGAGCGAGTCAACTCCAAGTGATGAGATGAATGATACACTTATTGAAAACGGTACTCTTTCCAACAACACGTACGTATCACCATACACCCCTCTCAGCACCGTCTATAAATCACCATACACACCCATCCCAGAAATCAACGACAAGATCCCAAATAGCAAAAATGCCATCTCAGGGGAAGATATTAACAATACATCTGCTTCTAGTTTCGTCGCGGAAGATAACAAGCATCAAGATAGCAATAGCAATAGCAATACCGCTATTTCTGCTCAAGTTCCCGAGGAAGATATGTCCCCTAGCTCGACTAATAAATTACCATATGATCCATTTTCCAACGCGGGGTATCAGATCGAAGAATGCGATAGTAGTCTTACGTTTTTGGGTCTAGGTGCGGATGGGGAGCGTGATAATGCTGTGTTTGAAGAGATGGATGTGGATGGGTGAATTGGCGGTGGAGAGTCTGCTTGTTCAATGTGCGGATGAAATGATAGATGCTTATTCTACATTTACAGATTGGTTGATGAAGCTTGGAGTCGGTGGAGATGGATGGGCAGACTTAGATGGGTTTAATAGAGGGTTGGTGGTGAGGGCAGGCATGATTTAGATATAGACATATTAGACATGGCGTGCAAAAGTTTGAGAATATTTGAATACAAAGTTATACAGGCTGGGAGGTGGAACAAGATGCTATAATGAGAAACAAAGAAGGCAGAGAAGAAACTGTTGACCTCCTGGGATCTTGGCAGCATATGCATATATAGTACATATGCATATAAGGAGCAAACAAAACTCAACTTTTAATTCATTCTTTCCTTTTTGGTATACTGTTTGTTTGCTTTCAATATTTTGATTTCAAAGCACTTTAATTCCGAAGGCTGAATACCCAACCTATTCCTTCATTTTTTTGAATATATGCTCGCAGCTTAACTGCTTAGCTAGAGAATCAATCAATTCAATCTGATACTCTTTCTAGTCTCAAGAAACCCAACAGAAACAAATTGTTAGAATATGGCAATACAATATAAGGTCAATATAAGGTCACAAACTGCATGATCATTGAAGGATAATAAATCCAGAATAATATGTAAAATTCCAAGATAGTGTTACGAGGTTTGCCGTCTAGATCATGTGGAAGTGCTCTAGGCTCTCAAGGTAGTTTATAACTAAATGTCAAGCAAGGATTTAAAATAATGATAATAATGATATACAATTTGTAATTAATAGTAAAGTATATTAAATGATTGATTTTGAGTATGAAGCTTTATATAAAGAAAATCTATCTTGATTATATAAACCTTTATACTTTTATAATTATTGATGATTCTTTATAATCATTAATAATCATTTATATCATAATCCCTAATGATCCTTAATGATCCTTAATGATCATTACTGATCACTTGTGATCATGTGTCTTGGTCATATAATGATAGTTGTATAGCCCGTCGTAACAGATAGGAAATGAAACAATGAAACAATGAAACAGAGTAATACTTTTTCATGAACTGAACCCGTTTCTTGAAATTCCATTGATTAATGTAATTGATAGGATTCATGAGGTGAAAAAGGAAAAAAAAAAGAAAAAAAATATATATATATATTATAATAATAATAATAATAATAATAATAATAATAATAATAATAATAATAATAATAATAATAATAATAATAACTGGACCCATAGAAAACTTTACATCAAGGAATTTTGAACTATTGATTGATTCAACCCAACCCAATGTAACGATACTATACTGGAGGCAGCGGCTGCCTAAGGTTTTGTCTGGTTGGTAGTTGTGGGTTAAGGCTTTATCACTGGTCTTCACTTGGAAGTGAAGTCGTTACTAGATCAAGTAGAATGTAGGTAAACTAATTGATAACTAAGTTGAGCACGAAGCTCTTAGACTATGAAACTATCTTAACTATATACTTCTGAATGTTATTGGATAGCCTGGATAGACTGGTCTACCTGGGCTATCCCCTAGACTGGATAGACTAGGCTATCCAGTCTATCCATCACGTGATCCTTAGAAGGCCTCAGGACACTAATCCTGGGACGATTCTGATCCTAGGATAATTGTGATTCGTGACACCCAATCCAATCGAATCCAACACTCTTTTTCCAGTGTCTTGTTACGACGGCTATCTTCTACGCCGCGTCACATGACTAAACCAAGGTAACGTGATTAAGTCACGTTATGGACCGCTGCGCGGTCCTGACTAGCCATAGGCATGAAGGTCTATATAATCAAGATGGATTTCCTTTGTATAGAGCTTCGTGCTCAAGATCAATCATTTAGTATACTCTACTATTAGTTACGAATTGCATTATTGTCATTACTTTAAGTCCCTGCTTGACGCCTAGTTATAAACCACCTCGAGAGCCTAGAGCACTTCCACGTGATCTAGACGGCAAACCTCGTAACATGTCTGTGTCTGTTCTTCAATATTCCATGTCCATGGAATTTTGGGAGGGGGATGGGATAATAGCATATATTTATACTAGTCTTTCTTATAACTAGGAGTCTAGATCAGAGATCCTACACAGTAAAATAGACACTATCATTTCGCAATGGAATCACCCAGCCAAACTCGGCATCATGTCAAAACCATTTTTTTATATATTGTAAATATGTATACAAATTCGCAAACGCTATGATATCTAAGTCATATAATATTTTGGTCCGCCTGAACCTTCGGGTACACTCCAATTGATATCCTGATCCGGAACCTTGATATCACACGTCTTACAATGAATGCAGCTGATGGCATAATTAGTATAATGTTGACCTATCAAGGAAGAGAACCACTTACTTTTGAGCATTAATTTGAAACCTTACTCCAATATCCTTTGTTGAATCCTCAACATATTCATACACACCCGCTGGGCAAAATCTATTTTCAATGCCTTTGTATTTTGGATACTCCATTTCCGCATGCTTATCCCAATCCTTGACCTGCAAATGAACTGGTTGATCTTCCTCGTGATTTGTACCTGTACGACTAACACTTGTCAAAATATCAAACGAGATCTTTCCATCAGGTTTCTCGTATTCAATCTTTGTACATTGATCGGCAAGTTTGGTGGCTGCAGCATCGGTGGTTTTATGTTTCAATGTCCAAGGGACTTTACCCTTGAGAATGAAAGCTTCGAATCCAGAGTACATAATACCACCGTATAGCTTTAATGGTGAATGGAATGATGGTCGCATATTTCGGACCTCCTTCAATTCTTTCCAGATGTATGATTTCCGTAACGAATCTTCATAATCATATAGGAAAACTGAGCTCTCATCATTCTTCTCCAATGCGGTCCATGTTGCTTCCGCAGCGAGCATTCCCGATTTCATGGCTGTGTGAGTACCCTTAATCTTTGGAACGTTGAGGAATCCTGCAGTATCACCAATTAAAGCCCCACCAGGGAATGCGCACTTCGGTATCGACTGAAATCCTCCTTCGTTGAGAGCTCGAGCTCCATAAGAAATACATTTGCCGCCCTCCAAAACGTCCTTGTAAAGAGGATGATGCTTCATCTTTTGAAACTCTTGATATGGCGACAGCCAAGGATTTGGATAATCAAGACCAACTACAAGTCCGATACTGACTAGATTTTCGCCGAAATGATACATCCAACCACCACCATAAGTGTCTGCCGGGAGAGGATAGCCCAAAGAGTGAACAACTTGGCCCTTCTTGAACTTTTCCGGTTGGATTTCCCATACCTCTTTTATACCAAGACCATAAGTTTGTGGTTGACTATCTCTACGAAGATCGAATTTCTTGATGACTTGCTTCGTAAGACTTCCATGACAACCTTCCGCGAACAGGGTTATTCTTGCGTGAAATTCCATTCCTCTTTCAAAACTATCTTTAGGTTTGCCACTTCTTGAAATACCCAAATCATTGGTGGCGACACCTTTGACAGATCCATCCGTCGCATATAACACTTCTGCGCCTGCGAATCCAGGATACACCTCAACACCAACTTCCTCTGCTCTGTCCCCAAGCCATTTTGTGAATTGATTAAGACTGACGATGTAATTGCCATGATTGTTCATCTGCGGTGGCGCGGGTATTGGAATTGAACTGCCCTTTGTAAGGAATCGCATCTTGTCGCCCGACACTGGAGTAACATTTTCGAATTTATTCTCATTGTCCTCTGCGAGCCAATCCGGAAACAATTCGTTGATAGCCGTAGGTTCAATGACAGCCCCAGAAAGTATATGTGCGCCAATTTCACCAGCCTTCTCCAAAAGTATTACTCGAAAATCTTCATTACCTGCTTCATTTGCAAGTTGCTTCAATCGAATTGCAGCACTTAAACCAGCAGGACCTGATAATGTTAGTAAAATTCATTGGCATGTGATAATATTCTTACCTCCTCCAACTATACATACATCGACCTGATCGGATTCCCTCTCCACCGACTTTGGATCGAAATCATTATTGACGTCTGCCAACCGACGGGGGACTGTAAGAGAAAAGACACGTCTCTGACCAGCGATTAGTGATGAGGCAATGCGGGGTCGTAATGTGGGATGTGTAGAAGACTGTTGAAGAATTCGCGGACATTGAATCGCAATCCTGGAAATATTTTGTCGAGCGACGTTACGCTGCAGACATGCCTTGACAGCCCTTGAAGAAGACATGATAATAATTACTGTCACCTCATATCAATAGTTGAATGCTTTGTTAAAAGTACAACGATTTGATTTGCCTCTTGACTCAGAAATGCATCAAAGTTCCGGGAAATTCTTCAAAGCTTCTCATCTCGGCAATGCAATAAAGCTGGAACCTCGGGCCAATCAGATGTCATTAGAATCAAATACATTTTCAATTGAATGCAGGAAATTGATCAACAACATCAATATTATCATGAAAGCGACAACGTGTTTTCACTGTGTGAGTTGAATTTTGATATACTGTCGCCGTACTTATTCGGACACGTATGCATGGTACTCTGAGCGACGCGGGGAAGATTACAAAGTTACTGGTAACGAATGGATGTCTCATGAATGTCGCCATCGTCGGAAGCGGAACACCGAAGTCGCAAACGAACAGGAACTTCATCAAGATTCATTGATCATCGCAAATAAAATTATACGCATTATCAGCAATGTCTATCATCACTCAAGATGCATTCCCGATATTATGGCTGGCACATCGTGACTATCTTTTCATGCCAAGATTAGAGATCTACTGGAGTATTTTACGACATGATTCTTGTCTGCCATACTATATCCGGTGGAAAGGTCATGATGAACGGAATCTGAAGAAAGATGGCACTTTGTAGGATTAGATCATTAACCCGACTAATATCTCAGTTACTGTGTTCATTTATTTTTCTCAATTCCTTTCTCACTTCTCTCAACAATCTTTCAGGGACTCGGGATATATGGCCAAAGATCTTCGACTCTTCCAAAGCCAAAAATGAATGTATCTTACTTTTGATCATCTTGTCTACTTTGGAGATAGCTCTCGGCTGGATAGAGTCGCCAGCAACCACCCCAAATACCCTACCATAGTCTGTCTCCTGAGTGCCATTTATTCGCTTACGTTTGCAAAGCGAATATGGCATTGCTGCGATCAGAATGGTTGTTAAACGAGGGGATATCACTAATTCCAATCGAAAACGTCGCATTGGCACAAAACCGCAAAGATCCAGTTTGAAGAACTCACCTCATGGAGTAGGCTTACTCAATTTCATTATGTACACTGGCTTTGATCATGATTATGATCTCCCAAGCGAACATCTTCAAAGTTCATGGACTCCCAGTGGGAATTTGCCAAGAACCCCGCTATGCCAAGGTGTGTTTCTTCTATATAAGACTCGGGATGAAGGTTTTCTCAATTAATTGGATGATACCGAACGATTGAACTTGATACCGTTGATCTCTCTCGAAATAGATCATTTGATACTGTACTACCGTTATCTTTCTACATTTGTGCACGGAATTCTCCACTTCCGACCTTTTTGCTGCGATCCAAGCATTTGACACTTCGTCATGGTTTGAGGCTGTAGCTAAAATGGCTTAATCGACGCTTCGAAACGCGTGTTTCCAACCTTATACAATGGAGTCAGAATTATCCGACGCCGATTATCATTTCACTCTTACAAAATGAATTCTAGATCAAACTGTGAAGATGCATCATTGGATCTTTATTGGGATAATTAATGCTTGGAAGGAGTTTTTCGTCTTGAGTTATACTATGGACCAAGCTACCCATGAATTTTCTTGCAGGTTCCTCCCCGGAAGTGTTGGAATCAGAGAAAATCCGTTTCTCGTAGAGCAAGGCTTCTTTTGGATAATATATCTGGTCCCCATTATTTCTAATTATGGCGCAATCCATGGTTCTGGTTCGAAAATCGTTACCATACGGGGTATGATGTTGAGTTTGACAGATTGTGGTCACAGATTAAACTTTCAGATAAATTGAGATCAGACACGCTAAGCATTCTATCTCAAGCATGTTTCCAAGTGTACATGTTTTTATTAGAGCTTATATGTGTATTTTTATTTGAGCACATACCTTTGTCTATCCCAGAGAAATCTGTTGAATTTGATGATAAAAGACTCGTAAAGCCCTCACTATTTGTCTCTTCATCCCACATCAACACTTCATTGCTTCGCCTTCATTTCACTCGTCTTTGAAGTAAGTCAGTCCAATCCAACCAGAATACTGAGAAATGCTAACAATTCATAAGTTGCTGCCTCATTCATTGCCTTTGCTATAAAAATCGACAGCTTGACGCTCATCGCCATAAATCTATCATCATGAAGAACTTCAGATCCATCTTGGCTTTCATCGCCATCTCTGCCACACTCGTTTCCACTCGAGCTTTGCCAGAAACCGAGAGTGATCTCATTGCTAGAGCACCAGTCCCAAATGGTTAGCCAAGTATAACTCACAAAATCAAACATAGCTAACAACGTCAGTATTGGAGTTCTATGCTCGATCAGCAAAGAATAAACTCAGCGAAGATGTCGCTGATGGGCCTGATAGTGCCGGTCAGTCTCTTCCGCCCTCTCATATCTTTTCGCAATACTGAATTATGCAACAGAACTCTTTGGCATAAACAATAAAAAGGCAAAGGGTACTGGCACCGCCGGTGCGAGCGGTGCAGCTTCTACCGGAACTGGCAAGAAGGGCAAGGGAAAGGGCAATAAGGTTCGTTTAATTCAGATATTTCCATTCCATCACACAATAATAACAAATACCAGGGAAGCGCAAAAGGCACCGGAAAGGCCAAAGGCACCGGAGCGGCAAAAGCCACCGGAAAAACAAAGACCACCGGCGCAGCAGGAGCCAAGTCTACTGGAACTGACTCAACCGGCAAGAAAGGCAAAGGCAAAGGTAGTGGCGAAGACAGCGACGATAGTAATGACAACCACGACGAAGATTCCGATGATGAAACTGCAGCCAAAGCAGCCAAAGCAGCCAAAGCTGGCAAAGCTGGCAAAGCTGGCAAAGCTAGCAAAGCAGACAAGGGAGACAAAGGAGACAAAGCAGAAGAAGAAGATAAAGCCATCTCCACAGGCCCCGTAACCGAAAATGAACCCAGCACCCTCGGTCTCCGCCACTATCCAACCCTAGAATCTAGAAAGAAAAACAAGAATGGTACTTCTTCTACAAATGGTACAGCGGCTGCAAGTGGAACTACGACTGGTAGGAAACCGGGTTCTACTGGTTCGAAAGGAAAGAAGGGGAAGGGTTCGAAGGGGAGTGCTAAGGCTACTGGGCTTGGTGCTGCAGGTGCGGCTGCTCCTTCCCCAACGAGTTAGTTTGGTCTTTGGGTTGGTGTTGTGTGGGGATAGAGAGAGGGGGTTGAGATAGATTTTTATAAAAGTCTTGGGTTGGAAGGAATATATAGATAGATACAATCGGATCAGGATCAGGATCAGGCGGTTTGAGACCGGTCAACTGGGTTGATTATCCTGATGTACACATATATATATATATGTGTTTCTAGTAGATTAGATTAGATTATATTATCTTATAGTGATATCATTCAATACATCTTTATGTTTTATTATTCGCTATTATATTTACTTATATTTTTACGATTATCCTACTTGGGGAAGTATAAAAGGTTCGATTTCTCTGAAAACCGTATACAGAGACGACACATTTTGCTGAGATTTGTTAACTTTTTTATGTTTTTTATTGAGTTGTTTAAATAAACTTGATCGCCGCTCGACTTGCTCATTGTCGATCAGGGTTTAGGAATAGATACTGAGAAAGTTTTGTGATATGTCATGGTAATAATGTTTAAATATAATTCCCTACAGCATTCTTTGACTATACATTGTAGGAAAAAAATCCCTTGAATTATTACTTATGTATAGGTATTTCCCATTTTGTTGTATACCTCTACTTCTAAAATATATATAGAAAGGATCTTGCTTTCCTTAAATACTTCTTATACAGGTTATCTTCACACAGATAGTTAGCTTGCTCTTCTCCATTAATTAGCACGTCATCTCCTGCAAGTATCTACTCTTCTCCGCTCATATTGAATTATTCAAATCATATCATCTCATTCACTACGGCTTAGGATTGGATAGTTCTCTATATAAGTTTTCATTCCCTCATGTAACGAAGAGCATGCATTGAGTGTTAAAAAGATCCGAGTAAATAACCAAGGAGTGAGCTGATCTGGGAGCTATCAATTTGTTGATATATATAAGTGCATTTGAAGCCTGGCATATTTAGGTGGAATATCCGAGGGAAATCCCTCAGCGGAAGTACCCTTAACAAGCACTTGACAGACAGTATTATTGCTAACATCTGTTGTCTGAATAAATTGAATCGTTGCTGTCACTGAATCATACTTACTGCATCTTATGTCTCCCAACTTACAGGTTAGAATTCTGCGTTAATACAGAACTTACTCAAAGGCATGACGACGAATTTTCAAATTAGATAATCAAGATTCTACTAAATATTCTAATACGTTCATCTTTACTCAAGGCATTCGCCCTGAAGAAGCCTTCGCCTACACTTTTTTCAGTGCCCTGCACTCCAGCAGCAGGGACCTCACATACTTAAACCAATGGATTTCAGCAACTAGCTTCATAACTCGCGAGTCAAATACTCGAGTATGAATCATCAAATTCAGCCCGGACTTACTTTTACAGTCAAGAGGTTCAGTTGACCTCTATGCTCTCTATAAATACTTTCGGTGTAGCCAGTTAGTGTGAACTACAACGAACCTGAAAACTTCAAATGCGGAATTTACATGGTTCAGGTCACCATAATCCAATGCATTGCTTTCAAAAAGTCTGGCTTCTTGAGAAGTGAGGTTATTGGAGTGTATTTTGTATTATTATCTCAAAGTAAGAAGATGGTTACCCCTGAAGTGACATCGCTACCAGTTTCCTTGTGGACGATTATTGTGTTTTGTCTTTTATTTATTCGTTAAAACAATCATCAAGCTCTGATATAGACTCATATTTAATCCATACTCACGGCGACGATAAATTCACACCACCGAATCCTGTTATCACTGCCATACGTATTAATCTATATCACCACATCATCTAATTTAATATCACAACCACAAAACCGCATCCAACCCCCGAAAAAAGCGTCTATATACTAAATCTTAGCCAGCTGATAACAGATCTCAATATTCCTAGAGACCCGGACAATATTCTACTGCTTTGTTCAGCCGTATAGTACACTCTAGATCTATCATTAAACAAATCCTCCTTTTATAACCAAACCTTTCCGCGCAAACGCTTAACGAGCTTAGCTCTTTCTTTCGCGCTAACTTATCCGCTAACTTCTATTGTAAACCCACTTATGCCACTAGTTTAGTCGAATTCATTGAGCTCTCAACCTCTATCTGAGAGTATCTTCTGGGCTTTCTATAAAACCCTGAAATTGGATGAGCTATTAAAATTTATCAGGAAGAGAAAAATAGTCTGTCCGACACTGCTTCTCATGGTCGACGAGTAATTTTCTGTATGCTGTTATCAGTGGTGAGAATTTTGCAAACGGATTGTTTTCGGATCTCGGAATTTTTAACTTCATGGCTGATAGTTTTAGCTTAGATGAGAAGTCTTGGTTGTTTAATTTGTTGTCATTACTTGATGGTAGCACGTTGCTGTCAGCAAAGCATTGCATAATATTAGATAGAAACTGGAAATATTCTCAACGTCGATCATTTTTGTTATTTAATCTTGCCACTTCAAATATGCAGATCTCTAGGTAAGACACTTAGTCTGTATATATCTCTCAATATATATCTGACAGTAAATGAGAATTCCCATAGCATTGAAGTACGTTGGTTAGTTGGTTGCTCCTACTCCTCATATCTGATTCAATAACGTTCTCTCCAAAAATGCACCGTGGCATCGAGGAAAATAGGAGGCCCTTAAATAGCAATCCTGAAAAAAGAGCCCGCAATCTCCAACTACCTTGAAAAATTCACCGTAATCAGCAAGTAGCAAAGATATGTCAATGATGTTTCTGGTTCATGACCCATACAAATATTCAGATATTCCAAACGGAGGCAGTTGGTACGTAGCAGGGTTTTGACTTTTTGATATCGGATTGGGATATATAAACTACCACTTGGTTCCCCTTTTCAGCATTTAAAAAATTGATGATTAGAGACAGTCCTGCAACTTGCTACAAGGAACCTGGAACGTATTACCTGTCCTAAGACATTAAGTGATTATCCCAATTCGTCCTACACGGGGCTTCTGGATGTCTTCCACGTGGAGTAACTTTTCAGCGGAAATATTGTTCGATATTATACTTCTAGTTGTTGTCATTTCCAATTTTCACTGTCGCCGCGCTCCCACTATTGACAGAATTTTCAGCCCAAACCTCCAATTATTGCTTGATAACTCAATGCGTATATTGAAAGACGGAGCACAAAAATCTGCGATTCTTTCGAGGCCCGACCGAATACTATGCTTTCACCGCAAGGTAAGCTTGATTCTTTGACTCTAATTGCAGCAAAGAACGTTTGATACGGGTATCCTCTGCACTAAATAGCTCCGTAAGGAGATTCCGTGGTCTTCTTTTTCCCAAACACGACAGAATGCGTGAGTGAATCTATTCACAGGTCTTCCGTATTAGTTTCTGCCTTGTTCGGGCTCAGTTCTATTCACTCCTAGTTTTTCCGCTTTAAAGGATAACGTGGACCCAGGTGCTGCAGATAATCTCGTCAAGCTCTTTTTTTGAGAGCAGCATATAATGTCTTCCATCCATCAAAAGTATGCTTCGCTCAAGGAATTGGCTGTTCTGAACCTCGGCGAAGAGGAAGATAACGTTCCCTACTTCAAAAGCCAGCGGACCAATCCAGTTAGCCATATATTGTCATTCCAAACTTCGAGAAATATGAACTCTGACCCTAAGTTGTGTCTGGCTTGAGCATTTATGTTGTTTATGGTTGAAGTCCATCTGAGCAGCAGAACTTTTTGCTGTCACTACTGTTCTCGAGGAGCTGATATCTACTTCTTCCGTTTCAGGGGTCAGTACAATAAAAGGGTTACAATCCATCCTTACATACACAAGTGACAAGACCTAACCCATACTAAAAACAGAACAATGTAGAATTTGCTTCTGGTTTTTACGGAATATTCCAGGAGTTCTAAATCGAGCCTCTCTTTAATCCACAACCCAGTTCCCTCCTTTCTCCAATGGCCGCGTGTATAGTTACACATCTATTAAAAAAGTTAGCTCTCTTACCGCGATTAAATTCTCTTCCCAAACCACACGATTCCCGATAATAATGGGGACTTTGAATGCTCTAACTTCTCTGTAGCTATTGAGAAATCAGGGTACTCGAAAATGTCATAAACTGAATCATTCTCTGTTATGTGTCAGCTTGTTCGGATTTATTTTACATTTGCCGTCAACGTCAATTGAATACTCATAGCAACTTCTCCATTATGCTTCACCGTGAGAAAATGCGTCATCATCATGGCTTTTTATCCATTACTGTCATCTTTCTTGACCATGGATTATTCATATTACCGATGTAAATATACCTCAACGTCAACTCCACCGCTATAGCTACTGGAACTTCGAAACCCTTGAAATTATGATTAAACATCAAACTCATCATACCTTCCCAAAGGCATTTCTTTGGTAAGTTTAAGAAGTTCATCATGTGTTTTAAGATCTTCTGGAGGGGTATGACTTATATGTACACTCCACTGAAGAACATACATAGACATGCCTCACAATGTGACTCGAGAGTCTTGAGTCAAGACGTGATCACAGTATGATTGTGTTGTCTCATTTGCGGTTGTCAAAGGAACCGTGGAACAAGGACCGGCACAAGTCTTCCAAATTGCAGAATTGGAAAGAAGAGTGATCGGTAAACCGGGCGATCTAGTAATCTGGTATGATCATCGCGATGTTTAGGCGTGGCAGAGGTTAAATATCAGAACGTGGTAGGGTCATACCACTAATGTGGAAATTCGAAATGCTAAGCAGGACGGTTTAGAGGTATGAGGTTGGATTAACATATCCCAAGGGAACTTTCTTATGAATACAAACTCCGTTGCTGTTCTATAATCGATGCAGACCCCAAACTATGAGTGTTTTTATTGTGGTACAATTAAAGCTAGCCATCAACTTGATGGCACAACAACGTGCTAGACTTCTGTACGTTTTTGCACTTTAGGGTGCTAAATACACAGGTCGATCTTGTGTATGAGAGCGACAATGTCTATATTTCGCTTGGATGCCACACCTATCATGTCTAGATAAATCTTGAAGTAAGATTACCTCAATATCTATCCTCCCCTGGGATAACAATATGGAACCTGTGATGATTTGTTCGGTTTGGATTATTAGAGTACAGGTGTTGATATTCACCTTGAATATTGAACCATAGTTAAAATTTTAGGTATCAATGTCCAAATTCATAACATCAGCCAATCAGCGCGTTCATATTCACATTAAATACCGAAAGTGACGATATGTAGGAATATCGTTACGAGAAGTTTCACAATGAGAAAAATAAGGTTAAGCTTCGGAAGAAGGAGCACCGGAAACGAGAGGAGACAAAATCGGCGGAGCGGAAACCACAAATAATAGCGTCTTGGCAAAATTACCGACCGACTCACATCAAGCAATCCAGCAACCTCATCACCGTCACCAACACCAACCCCCAAACAACTCCACCAGCACCCTCTATCCGCCATCCAAACCAGCAATATCACAAACCTTCTTCCCGCCCATCGCGAAGATTTCCCAAAATGTCTTTCACACGCGCCATTCCCCGCGCCAGCACGATCGTCCGCACACAAACACCAGTTCTCAACCCAGCACGAAATTTATCTTTTACCGCAGCCCGCAAATCGGCAGATCATGGGGATCATTATGATCCGCCGACCGGATGGTTGTTTGGAGTGAAGCCGGGAGAGAAGCCGGAGAAGGAGGGATGGGAGAATTTGTGGGTGTATGGATTTTTTGGGGCGTGTGCTTTTGGGGTTGTGGGTTATGCGGTTAAGCCGGATACTTCGTAGGTTTTTATTCTTTTTGTTTTTTTTGTTGGGGAGTTTCTGGATGTATTGGAGATGGGTGGGAGATGTGAAAGTGAGGGTTTTTGGAATAGGTGGGAGATGAGGAATTTGGGGAGAGCGGTGGAGGGGAGTTGTGGCAAGAATCTGGAAGAGATGTTTGGGAGAAAAGCTTCTACAGAAATTTAATCACACGAAAATCCGAGCACTGCTAACTATCATTCACAGGATACAAACATGGGCATTAGAAGAAGCACGCAGAAGGTTAGAAGCCGAAGGGATCTTGAAGGAGCCAGAAGACAAATCATAGACCAGTACGATTTGAGCAATTTACGATGGAGAATTTGCGAAGACTGAAGGGCGGAGAGTGATAAGATGAAACGGGGAGAAGCTGTAAATACGAGGATTGATGAAGGAGACGATGGACATCTTGCTGGATGCATATCAAGATGTACGGGTTGCACGAAATATGATACGTGCTAATAGAGCGAAGGAATGCTATTGAGTTTCTTTTCTTCCCCTTTAAAGGAAATTTGTGCAACGAAAGGGCGCCTATATGAGCTCACTGTGAAATGGATTCGAGGAGCCAAGTGAGAAGTGGGAACTCTAGCCCTGATAAAGGAGGAGCCTCCACCGGCCTCAAGGATAATATCGGACCTGATCTCATCAACACCGATACCAAGCGTATATTTGCAAATTCATCCGAAGCCACTCGGAAACTAGCCTTTCAAGATATGATTTTAAGTATGACTTATATATATTCTATCGCTCACTTTTCATTCGTCCAACTCTATAGGTATATACATCCACCACAGAAGTTCGCTAATTAGGTACAACATAACTCCACTCATGCTCTTCATCGCCATATTGTCTCGCCTCTATCCATTCCTTCATCTTCAATGCGATCTCACCGGCTTCTTGATCTGGTCTCAATCCACACTCAACCAAGTTGCCCTTCCATGAGATGTTTCTCACTGGACTAACAACAGCTGCTGTTCCTGCTCCGAAAGCCTCTAATAATCTTCCTTCCTTCGATGCATCTGATAATTCTTTCATAGTATATTTGCGCTCAGAAATTATCCATCCCTCCTTGGTAAGCTTCTCCCGAGCTAAAGACAGAACAGAGTCTCTTGTGACACCTTCCAAGATGGTACCGTCTAATGGAGCAGTAACCAATTCCTTCTGACCTTCCTTATTCTTGACAGCCACAAACATATTCATGGTACCAACCTCGGTAACAAACTCCTCTTCGCCAAACAACCATAAATTTTGGTGGAATCCCCTCTTAGCAGCCTCTAATTGTGGTAATATACATGGAGCATAGTTTGCACCCAGTTTCTTGTCTCCAACTCCTCCTGGCCATGCTCTCACAGCATAATCTGTAGCTTCCAAGGATATGGCCTTGAATCCAGTAGGATAGTATGGTCCAACTGGAGAAGCAATAACATACAGTAACGCAGATCCTGGTGGACCAACACCCAATGTTCTTTGTGTTCCAATCATAGTCGGTCTTAGGTATAGTGAATATCCTCTAGCATCTGGGATGAATCGTTTCTCCATAGCAACGAATTTCGATATCAACTCAATCAAAGCCGATTGATCGAAAGTTGGCAGGGCGATACGAGCTGAAGATTTGTTCATTCGCTCCATATTCTTAGTAGGTCTGAACAACCGTACATTTCCGCTTTTATCCTTGTATGCTTTCATTCCCTCGAAACATTCGAACGCATAATGGAAAACGCAAGAGGCGGGATCGAGAGAAAGGTTTTGGTAAGGTGTTATACGTGCGGGTAACCATCCTTCAGAAGCTGTCCATTCAATGCTAAGCATATGATCTATGAGCGGTCAGCAATTGGAGTTGTGAACAGTTATCAGATGAGCTTGCCTGTAAACGATCTTCCAAAGACCAATTCATTTGGAGGAAGTAGTTCACTGGGAGTAGTGTTTTTGGTTATAGTTAACTTGGTAGGGTCGATATCTTGTAGCTTTATTGTCGAAGCAGCTTCTGCTTGTATGCTGTATAATCTCGACGAAGCCTCCCACCGTCTTAACACTCTGGAGCTTGGTTTCGCGAAAGCCGCCCCTCTTGGGAACAATTGACGAAGCATTTTGACCAAATTCAAGTATAAAAAGTTGGAATGAACCTCGAAGTATCGGTCTGGGAAACTTGAGCTTCTTAAATGCCTAAGATCCCACGTATGCTTTGAAATAGTCTCTGGAGTTAACAAGTCAATTCAAAGGGTCCAAATAAAATTAAATGCTGTGACCACATCCGGCTCCGAATCGCGGAGTCATAATTGTCCCATAAGATTTCAAGGATTAGATGAGATAACATTTCCACTTCATGCAGCCTTATGTAAGCGACACATCCCTGGATCTCACAAGCTGAAGCCTTGTTGTGTTTTTGAGAGGCCACGCCAAATTCCAAGCTAAGATGTCCCTTTGCTTGACAAGGCTTACGCTTTTGGTACACTAGAACAAACTGGCAGATCAACACTAAACTTATTGCGCAAAGTACAAAAGTTTATCAAGAATTGCAACAGTTACTTTACCAAGATCATATTGGTAATTATCAGCTTCTTTAAGTATAATTATCCAGGCTTTAGGTTTCATGTGCAGTGAGTTCGGACAATCTTTCGAAGCGCCAGTGTTGGTGGGAGGAGAGTTGCGAAGATGTTTAGTTCCGCGTTGAAATCCTTCACTTCGAATATAAATTCGAATTACTCAGTATCATCTACCCCAAGTTCATATTCCGGACCATGGAAGATATACGATGCGAAGAAGAAATCAACCGGAAAGACTGCCTCAGTCTTTGTCCTTGATCGCAAATCTTTAGATGCACATGCTGGATCCCTGGGACGGTCGAGTGCGTCCTCGATGAAACGTGCGACTGAGGATGTAATTGAAAGATTAAAGAAAGAAGCTTCATCATTGGCAAGACTGCGGCATCCCAGTATCTTGGAATTGGTCGAGCCAGTTGAGGAAACGAGGGGTGGAGGCTTACAATTTGCGACCGAGACTGTGACGGCCTCATTGTCCGGGCTACTGCAGGAGAAAGACGAACAAGAAAGGGCTGGTGGCATTGGCGGACGTACCAGTCGATATGTCACCGAGGATTCGGAAGGTGGCAGACGGAGGAGAGAGGTTGAAATAGATGAACTGGAAATACAAAAGGGTCTTCTACAGATCAGCAAAGCATTGGAGTTTTTACATGATAATGCTGGTCTTGTACATGGGAACCTAACGCCTGATGCTGTGTTTGTGAATGCCAAGGTGAGCTTCATGTGCATCTGTGTATCTACTTCGACTGATTATTTATAGTCCGACTGGAAAATTAGTGGACTTAGCTTTTGTAGTCCGCCAGACAATTCGACCAAAGCTACTTCGGTGCAACCTATCAACCTTTCTGAGGTTCTGAACATCGACCCTCGACTACCTCGTTCTGTTCAAATCAACCTCGACTATTGCTCCCCCGACTTTGTCCTAGACTCGAATTTAAATGTTGCAGCAGACATGTTCTCATTAGGTCTTCTCATTATCGCCCTTTATAATTCGCCCCATACTTCACCACTGGAATCTAATAACAGCATTTCTGGCTACAAAAGACTATTTACCTCTTCTTCTACTATACCCTCATCCAGCAATTCCTTCATGTGCAAAAAATCTTTGCCAAGAGATATGACTGGAGAAGTACTACCACGATTGATAACTAGACGTCCAGCGCAACGTATGACCGCAAAAGAATTCCAGCAAAGTGCCTACTTTGATAACATTCTAATATCTACCATTCGATTCTTGGACTCTCTACCGGCAAAGACACCTAATGAAAAGGCTCAATTCATGCGTGGTTTGTTAAGGGTGTTACCCTCATTTCCAAAAAGTGTTATGGAGAAAAAGGTTTTACCGGCTTTATTAGAAGAGATGAAAGACCGAGAGTTGATCTCATTAATTTTACAAAATATTTTCAAAATTATCGAATTATTGCCCACGTCAAGACGGCCGTTCACCGAAAAGATCATGCCTAGGCTCAAGGAGATATTTTTGAATAACCCCAAACCTCCCACTGAACGTGATGCCGCAAAGGAGGCTGGTTTGATGGTACTGCTGGAGCATATTCAAGTAATATCTGTTAACTGCTCAGGTAAAGAATTTAAAGAAGGTAAGGTATTTCTACTGAATAGACATATTTTGTGTGCTAATTGCCTTAGATATCTTGCCCATTGTAGCAATCTCGATAGATTCACCAACACACGCTCTTGTAGATGCTGCACTGCGAAGCCTGAATGTTGTTCTACCTCTTCTTGATTTTTCCACAATCAAGAATGAACTCTTCCCAGTTATTGCTTCCGTATTTACGAAGACTAGTAGTCTGGGAATCAAAGTTCGAGGTTTAGAAGCTTTCGTAGTTCTTTGTGGTGGCTCAAATAATCCAGCCTCTAGCAATGACGGCCTTGACGGCATTGGCGGCGCCAAGAAGAACACATCAACTCCTCTTGACAAATATACCATGCAGGAGAAGATTGTACCACTAATTCGAGCAATCAAAACGAAAGAACCTGCTGTTGCGGTCGCTGCACTGAATGTCCTTAGACAGATAGGCACTATAGCCGACGCGGAATTCGTTGCCATGGATATTCTTCCCATTCTATGGAATATGAGTTTGGGTCCACTACTAAACTTACAGCAGTTCCAATCTTTCATGGAGCTTATCAAAAGCTTATCTGTTCGGGTCGAGTCTGAGCAAACAAAGAAGCTGCAAGAGCTGTCCGGTATCAACGGCGGAAGGGCAAACGGAACTGATGACTTCATGTCGTTTGGCGCCGCATCAGCGTTTCCATCGGCATTGGGATCTGATGACCCCGAAATGGATTTCGAGCGACTAGTTAAAGGCGGAATTGGTGCACCATCATCCAGCAACCCGTTAGATTCCGGCTGGGACGCTAACCCACCGAGTGCCGGTATTCAGCAATCTCAGTCGTCGACACAACCCAAACCAGTTGCCTTTTCGTGGTCTACTCCATCACCCACAGCGCCTACATTCCCTTCTAACTCTATTAATAATGTTCTTCGTACATCACAAAACACCACATCACGCACAGTCACACCCGATCTGTCTAGCTTTGGTGCTCTAACACCATCAGCTACCCAATTCTCACAACCACTTCAGCCCCAATCTAACTACTCAAATCCAATACAACCTCAATCATCGTTTTCCCAACCTCAGTCCTCCTTCTCCAAAACCCAATCCGCATTCCCGCCACCTAAATCTACCACTTCTTCCATAAACTGGAACACCGCCGCTTCGTCCTCAACCCCCAACCCGTGGGGCTCAAACCCGACAACCTCATCTCTTTCATCCATCTCGCCGCCTCCTTCCAATCCCTCTTTATCCTCAATGAGCAACATGACCAACTCCATGTCTTCACTCTCCATGAATCAAATGAATCAAGCAAGACCCGCATTAAACAGTTCCCAGAGCGCCTCGAGTTCTTTTTCGAGTTTCTCATTGCCGCCGCCACCTAGTGCGAGCATGGGGGGAGGAAGTAATTATAGTGCGTTTGGGGGTGCTAGTAGTGGTGGGCAGAGGATGGGGATGGGAGGCATGGGGATGGGGCAACAGAGACCGGTTGTGCAGCAGCAACAGCCGCAGCAACAACAACAGCAGAAGAAAAGTGGATTGGATGCTTATGAGAGTTTGCTATGAGCTGCGATTAGTGAAGTAACAGGGTTTGAATACGAATGAGTTGGTGAAATTTAGGCAAGGAAGTCGAGGGGAATGGGGGTTAATAGGACTCAGGGTCAGGGTTGGGGGAAGGGAATGGGGAAGAGCTGGGTCAGGTGCATGATGCGACTTTGGAATGAAATGAGTGAGGGAAAAAGGGACAATTGAAAGTCTTTGGAGCGCGGCCTGAAAAGAAAATGGGAGCCGATGGAGTTTCGAGTCTAAAAGTACATATATACCTAGTGGGAAGGGAGGAAATGGATAGATAGCCAGCGAGCGAGCGAGCGAGCGTGCGAGTTAATTCAGCAAGTCATAATTAATTATCTTATGCTTTCGAGAAAAGAAATATGTGATTTTCATGATGAACGCTTAATCTATATTGCATGATATCTATTTGAATCTTGAATTCCTCGTTATGCTCTCTGAATCTTTTCCCACGCTTTTATTCAAATGATATATACAAGGATAAAATTGGGTACTTCACATCTTTCTTTCTTTCTTTATCTATCTATCCTTCTCCCACGACCAAATGGAGAAATCTACAATCCCTTCTCCTCGCGCATTTTCCTGAAGAAATCAGTGACTCCAGTAAAGACAACGAGTAAAATACCACCACCGGGTCCTAATCTGAGGACCTTGGGTAAGAATCCTTTGTAGAGTGCAGCGAAACCTTCTTCCTTCATGACGGTTCCGAGAGCTGGCCAGGCCCAGTTGTATTTTGGTGCTAAGCCGGCTACCTTGGGACTATTTTGAATGCGCGATTTAACGACATCCATGGGCGTGTTGAGGATTGTACCGGTGGTTCCACCGATTGCTCCCGATATCATGTTGACTAGCATTTCCTGCTTCTTGTTGTCGGGTTGGGGCATTAGTGCCTTGACTTGGAAGATACAGCCAAAGTATCCGGCGTTCCATAAAATGTGTCTCCACATTGTACTTTCTAGTCCGTTGTACAGAGCTAATGGTCCCTCGGCTTTCACAATTTTGCTCACGCAGTCTACCATTCCGGAGTATTTTCCAGCGGAGGCGCGATCTTGTAGACGGATTTTGACGAGTTCGAACGGGACGACTACGAATGATTCGGTTGCTCCAGCGGTGGCTCCGGTGAGAATGGCGAGGGATTGGTTTTGTTTGGCGACGCCGAATATGTCGCGGTAGAATTTTCCCCATGATTCGTTGGCTGCGAATTTGGTGGCACGTTTGGGCGCTTCCATTAGGATTGGGGCTTCGATTCCGCGATATAATCGTGAGATACTTTGGGCGGAGTGTCAGTACATGTCGTCCGCTGCGAGAGGAAGGGCATTCTAGAATAACATACCCTTCATTCTTAATGATCTTTCTGAAGCAATCCACCATGCCATTGTATCCATCCGGTCCAGCGGAACTAGTTTGCAGTTGTCTATTTTCTGGTCAGTATTCTGTTTTATGTACTGGTATATGGAAAGTAGAGAAAATCGGACTCACACTCTAGTCTTTACGACATCTAACGGGTACCTGTATGAGTTATTAGTATGTGCACTAGCAATTGCTTGTCTTCTCACGGAGGACACTTACATAACAAGAATCTATCGCAATTTCATCCAAATTAGTTCTCACGTTCCGCAAGTTTCGCAGGATATGCAGCAGAAGGAACTCACTTCAGATACACCAGCAATGGCACCTAGAAAGTGTTTGTAAGAATCAATTTCAAGAAATGGGATGAGGGGTCCACGTACCAGCTGCGAACTGGTAAACGAATGGAAGAGGCTTTTCGGTGGACATGATTGCGATTGATGCTATTAACAGGTTAGAGATGAATGGAGTAAGTAAATCCTGTGGAAGATTATTGTTATGTGTGAAAAGTCGTTGTGGTGTAACATACCTTGAATTTTCTAAATATCTAGTATCTATCTACTCGTATGTAGAATCAAGCTATCTATCTGACCTGGCAGAGAAATAATTATTTGCTCTGTGCGACAACTTTCTTATCAATCAATCATCAACCCCGGAAATATTGGGGCTTTAAGCTCTTCCGCTATTCTTCTCCACTTATAGCCGACGATCGGAGAACAGAAAGCAGCACGGTATATGTCAGACAGGGGATGAGCTGTGAGTGGGCTTCATGCTTACTAATAAATTTGGAGGGGAACTTGCTTGGACTGACTGATAGGAAAGAATCAAAACAAAACACGCTAATGATATGGAGAAAAGGGAAAGCGCGTTCCAGGTCGCGAAATCGCGTATAACGAGGTACCTAGTAACTACTCTACTTACTATACTGCTACTATATTGTTATCTACTCCACAAACTGCAAGAACTAATCATCCCACTGAGATTAATAACATTAACCTTAACATTAATCTTCACATAAACTTTTGGTTTATTCAAATTATTTTCATATTGCTTGCTACACTCCATAAAACACCATCTCTCATGTACTATCCCAATTCATATTTGGTGAAGATATGATGCCTCTTCAAAAGTCCTTCTCTGAGACCAATCATTCTGGAAAAGAGAATAATGTATGTACATCAATCTACGCACCTACTCTTGTATAACTCGGCATACAAGCAGATAACCATTTTATGAACTAATAGAAGCTAATTGAACACAGTCACGGCCACAATGGCAGAGAAATAAGAATTATGAAAGCCCACAGCAAAAGCAAAAGCCCAAAGTTCCCGCAAAACCACTCGCAGAAAAGCCACCCATTCCTGTCTCAACCACTACTAAGAATATACTCAACAATTTTCAATACCGAGAACAAACCGGGAAGAAGGATGATGCGAAAGAAGTTATAAATTTGGTGTCATCGGAGGCAGATAGCCGGACCGCCACACCATCGAAGAAGAGGCGACAAAGTTCATCAAAAGATGGAAAGACTTCTGTAGAAGAAGATGTCTCCCTTGAGGAGCCTGCAGATGCACCTTCCACCCCATCAATGGGGTTTGATCCCACACAAAACACCGATTTCAAACGACCATTCAAAGCAATATCACCTGACGATCGTATAATTTGGGATACAAACAAAGATAGTCAACAGTTACCTGACCCGCGAACTAGCAATCTGGGAAAGAGAAAGAGAGGCGATGTCGAGTTTCATAGAGCACAGAGTTCTTCACCTATATTGGGTCGCTCATCGCAAGCAGATTCACGACCACGACCGGGGCCGGAGGTTGAAGTGTGGATGAGAGTAACTCAGAAGGACCATAAACTTTCGCGGATTATGGACAATGCGTCTCCGCAATCATTGAAAGATGGCAATGCACTTAGAGGATTGACTCGATCAAGGAGTCTTGGTAATCCATTAAATCCAAAGAGACATCAACCGAATAGGATAGGAAAAAATAGAGATATTGATACCCCTGGTTTGATGAGGCGACTGCAGGAAGATTATAAGCCAAAGGATTTTTCTAGTGGTCCTTCGAGCTCATCACCTCTTCCTAACAAAGGACTATTTCATGAAGGATTGAGCTCTCCATTAGGGCAAAAGGGAACTGAGAGGAGGACATCGCCTCTGAAAAGGAGACTTGAACCGCCGTCATCACCAATCAGAAATGCCGACTCCGCTGCTCCTCTGCTGAGCCCAAAGAGACCTTCTACTTCCGAGTCGGATTATGGTTCTGATGATGGTCTTGATGAAATTGGTGGGATGATACTTTCGGCTATCGAGTCGCAAAGTCAAGCTCCTCCTGCTTCGAAGTCACGACCACTACCTCCACTTAAAAAACATCAACCGCCCACTAAGCCAAAAACTTACTCTACGCATAAACCTCCAAATGTCTCGAGAATCCCCACCACTTCGAAAGTAGTTGATGACGATAGTAGCGATGAATTTGGCGAGGGCTTGGATGATGATGATTTTGATGCTGCTTTTGCTGGATCAGTTCCAGTAGATAATGTAGAGCTTCCACCATCAAGGCCTAGAGGCGCAGCAGCTAAGGAAGAGTCCGATGATGAATTTGGTGACAATATAGACGATTCAGATTTTACTGCTGCGGAGATAGCAGCAACTCAGTCACTTAAGCCATCGGCAAATAGCTTAATGCCTGTACGTCCGAAAAAGTCATAGCAATATATTATTTATTCAATGCTAAGAAATGTCTAGTCTATGGAAAAAGTTCGCGCAATTCAAAGATATCTTGTCACTATGATAGACAATAATCAATATGAAGGTGTTAATGGTAGATTGCAACCAGAAAAGGTAAAAATTCTTAACTTCTTGTCTTGATTTGACTAACCAGCCCAAGATACTTTTTCTTCAACCTGAGCGTTCCAAAGTTAAAAGAATGGTTCACCTCCGAGGCACGTGGATTGATACTCCTGTGACTATGAAAGCCTTTGTTCATATCATTGGCAAATTCGACTCGCAGGGAATCTGCATCATAGATGATAACTCTGGTTTGATCATTCTTCATCCGGATCATCTTATCTCTGCGCTTGTTGTAGCAGATTCTTTTGGATGTACTCGTCGTGCTGTTCTCCAAGATAGAGTCAAAGCTACTGGTGAAGCATCTCCAGCGATGCTTTATGGAACGATTCTTCATGAAATTTTTCAGGCTGCAATGCTTGCTAATCGATGGGACACAAGGTTTTTAGGTGAGCTCATTGACAAGCTTGCTCAGAGACATCTTGAGGATTTGTATGTAATCAAGGTTGAAATACCCCAGGCTGTGGAATATCTACATAGTAAGATGGGAGAATTACAAGCATGGGCGGAATTGTTTGTGTCATCTCAACCGAAAGTAAGTAAACCAGACCGTTCTTCACTCTATATACTAATTTCCTTAGCCTGAAGCTCTAGTAAAAGCTAGCAATGGTGATAGCGTGGCTATGTGTGTCAGCAACCTCCTCGATGTTGAAGAGCACGTCTGGTCTCCAATGTATGGTTTGAAAGGCAATATCGATGCTACGGTACAGATCACTATGAGAGATGAGAAAGGGGAAAGAACCCTTACTGCACCTCTTGAGGTCAAAACAGGCAAGAATCCCAGTATAGCCAACCGAGCGCAAACTGCACTCTACAATCTCCTCATATCTGATCGATATGATGTTGAAATCGCTTATGGTATTTTGTACTACATGGAAACGTCAGAGACTATTAGAATTCCCGCTATTCGTCACGAACTTCGCCATATGATCATGCAGAGGAATGAACTGGCTTGTTTTGTCCGAGAAAAGAATGCCCAACTTCCGCCTATGCTTAAGAAAGAGAATATGTGTGGAAGGTGTTATGCCAAGAATACATGCTTCATTTATCACAAGCTGGCTGATGATGGAAATGGTGAGACAAGTGGCATGAAGGAAAAGTTTGATGAAGTGGTCAAACATCTTACCCCGAAGCATAAAGAGTTCTTTCTCAAATGGGATGATCTCCTTACGAAGGAAGAAAAGGATTCCTTGAAATTTCGTCGAGAGTTATGGACTATGCTTAGCTCGGAACGAGAGAAGCTTGGTCGATGTTTTTCCAATGTTGTCATTGAAGAAGGATCAGCATACGAAGACCTCAACAATGAAAAGATTAATCGCTATCGATACACTATGATCAAACCAAAAAACTCAACAACACCAGGATTCTCCTTCATGGATTCGCAAATAATTGTAGGAGAACCAATCGTCATCTCAGATGAAAAAGGTCATTTTGCCCTCGCCAAAGGTTATGTTACCAACGTACGGAAAAATAGGATCACAGTTGCAGTTGATCGTCGTTTACATAATGCTCGCATCAGACAACCTGGATTTGACGAGACTAATAATCAGGTTTTCGCTAGTATTATGGAAGTGGCAGCTGAAGGGTCCACACCGGCGGATTCCATTGGTAAAATCAAGGAGGACCCAATTCTTTACAGACTCGATAAGGATGAATTCAGTAATGGCCTTGCTACCGTTCGAAATAATCTCATTCAAATAATGACAGAGGGACCTTTTGGATCACGAGAAATTCGAGGTCTGGTCGTCGATCTTAATGCTCCTCGTTTCAAACCACATTCAACACAATACACACTTAAAGATCGCTCGTCTATAAATGTAGATCAACGTCGTGCTATTGAAAAAGTCATGTCGGCACAAGATTATGCGCTTGTACTTGGTATGCCTGGTACAGGAAAGACTACAACCATTGCTCATATTATTCGAGCTCTTGTATCACAGGGAAAATCGGTTCTTTTGACTTCCTATACTCATACAGCTGTGGACAATATTCTTCTCAAACTTCGTGATGACTCGATTCCTATCTTGCGTTTAGGTGCGAAAGCGAAAATTCACCCTGATGTTCAAGAATTTGCCAAACTTGCCATTGATCCTAAAGAAACTATGGAAGAGATTCGAAGTGTCTGGCATGGTACACCAATTATTGCTACTAGTTGTCTCGGTATTAATCATCCTATTTTCAACGAACGGACATTCGACTATTGCATAGTAGACGAGGCTTCTCAAATTACACTTCCCGTTTGTGTCGGTCCTATTCGTCTCGCACGTACATTCATTCTTGTTGGAGATCATAACCAACTTCCACCATTAGTCAAAGATGAAGAAGCCAGAAAAGGTGGTTTAGATATTTCTCTCTTCAAATATCTCTCCGATGCTCATCCTCAAAGCGTTGTCTATCTCGAACATCAATACCGTATGAATGCAGATGTAATGGCTCTCTCCAATACACTCATCTATAATGGTCGTCTTAAATGCGGTAGCGAATCCGTAGCTACTCGAAAAATCATCATCCCTGAGATGGATGCGCTTAAAGCACATCATCATACTCCCAGCAGTATTCTACATAGTACTCAGAAATCCATCTGTCTCGAACCCAAAAAAGGGAGATGTTGGTTGAGAGATCTATTAGATCCAGATGTTACCGTCGCATTTGTGGACACAGATGGACTCGGAGAAATAGCTCGAGAAAGCGAAAAGGGAAATCGAACAGTCAATGATGTGGAAGCTAAAATCGTCACTCAACTCGTCACTTCTCTCATATCCGTCGGTGTCGATCCTACAGAAATAGGAGTAATGACGCATTATCGCTCTCAATTAGCTTTACTAAAAGATAGTCTCCGTACCGCCAAAGGCGTAGAAATGCACACGGCAGATCGCTTTCAAGGAAGAGATAAAGAAGTTACTATCCTAAGTTTAGTACGTAGTAACGAAGCGGGAAATATAGGTGAATTGCTCAAAGATTGGAGGAGAATAAATGTAGCATTTACAAGAGCGAAAACAAAGTTATTAGTGGTAGGTAGTAGAGGTACTTTGAAAGGAAGCTCAGAGAGGAGGGAAGTTCAGGGTGAGAAGAAGGAAGAGATGGTTTGTAGGTTTGTTAAGTTGATGGAGGAGAGGATGTGGGTTTATGGGTTGAGGGAGGAACAGTTCTTGGGGCATTTTTGGGAGGGGGGAGGTGGTTTGACGCAGGGGAGTGTGGGAGTGGGGAGTTTGTCGCAGTGGGTTGGGGTGGGGGATGAGGGGTGTGGGAAGGGTGGGGGAGAGAGTGGTGAGGGTGAAGCTGAG